CTACCTGTACATTTATATTTTCTGTATTCATTTCTCCTAATGTTTCTAGCTGCATTTGGCTTATTTTGATTCAGTTTCTGCATTTTTTTATAATTTTGTTCATTCTGAAAGGGATGACTTGCACGAGGGGTCTCCCTGTTGGGTGGAATATCCGCTGGAAACCAATCCACCTCTAAACTCTCAGCAAGATGAAAAGAATCCAAACCTGGATTGGATCCCGCATCAGCTTCTATGTTATGCAATTGGAGAACGGGTTTTCACCAATTACCATTTCTTTGGGGCCAATGGTTTTTTTAAAGATATTAGTAACGAAGACTTTAAAACTGAATGTAGAACAAAATTCTCTCATTTTTGTAGGCCCAAAGAAACCTCATGAAGCAAAGAAACATCGACCACCACCAAGTACGTAAGCTCTAGCCAAGATGATATGCAAGCCACAAGATGGGCGACATATACACTGAATAAGTGTTAAATAAAATAGTCTTATTGGTGTAGCATACAATGTAAGAGTACTGAGTATCAGGAGGGAGCTGCTGGGAAGCAGTTCTTGGTGAACGGGATAAATATTGTGGATCTTTTAGAGAAAGATGAGAATTCCTACAGAAAAGCAAGTTAAAAAATTCTAACAATCACATCAACATTAAGGTCTACATCATGACAGTCCAATGGGTTTCTTTGCCCCTCCCCCCCAACTCTAGAGAAATTCCATCTTTGGTCTTTAAAGAGTTTGCGAGGCGTGAGAAACGTTGGTCCTCCTGGATTCCGAGTTTGTGCTCCTTCCATCCTAGGACAGGGGAAGTTTGGCCAGGAGAGTCTTTCTACAGATGTGCCAGGCGCATCTGTTCCAGGACCAGGAGACCACTCAAGTTGTCACTGATGCCTTGTTTGCCTTCCAATTGGACTACTCTAGTGTGATTTACATGAGGCTGCCCTGGAATTTATAGAATAACAGAGTTGGAAGGAACCTTGGAGGTCTTCTTGGCCAACCTCCCTGGCCAAGCAGGAGACCCTAGACCATTCCAGACAAGTGGCTGTCCAATCTCTTCTTAAAAACCTTCAATATTGGAGCAACCACAACTTCCAGAGCCAAGCCATTCCACTGATTAATTGTTCTCACTGTGAGAAAACTCCTCCTTAGTTCCAGGTTGCTTCTCTCCTTGATTACTTTCCATCCATTGCTTCTTGTCCTGCCCTCAAATGCTTTGGAGAATAGTTTGATCTCCTCGTCTTTGTGGCAGCCCCTCAGATATTGGATATTGCTATCATGTCACACCTACTCCTTCTCTTTGTTAAACTAGATATGCCCAATTCCTGCAACCGTTCTTCATTTGTTTTGGCCTCCAGTCCCCTAGTCGTCTTTGTGGCTCTTCTCTGCACCCTTTCTAGAGTCTCAACATCTTTTAAAAACCGTGAAGGCCAAAACTGGATGCAACATTCCAAGCATGGCCTTACCAAGCATTACAAAGTGTTACTAACGCTTACGTGGGGCACAATGGCCCAGGGGTTAAAAAGGCTGCGCTTGTCAGCTGGAAAGCTGAGAGTCTCGGTTTGAAACCTGAGCGCAGTGCAATGGGGAGAGCTCCTATTCCTTGACCTGACTGCTGCCCACCTAGCAGGTTGAAAGCATGCAAATTTGAGAGATTAATAGGTACCACTTCAGTGGGAAGGTAACAGCGTCCCCTGCACCTCTGGCGTATAGCCTTGCTGGCCACCTGGCCACAGAAAATGACAACATTGGTTCCCTTGGCCAAGAAACGGAGATGAGCATCGCTCCCTCGAGTTGGACACGACTGGACAGGGGAAAGCTTTAACTTTTTTTTAAACCAACACTTCAGGTGATCTTGATTCGATCCCTCTGTTACTTTTACAGCTGCGTTGGAAAACTTGTTATGCTACAGCTGATCCAGAATGTAGCGTTGCAGGCTGTACTGGATGTATCATAGTGTGTTCATGTGTCTCCCTCACTTCACAAGTTGTGCTAGTTGCCAGTTGGCTTCTGGGTGTAATTCACGATGCTGGTTATCTCCTCACGGCCTGCGTCCGAACAGCCGCTGGAAATTCAACATCTCCCTATGTTTCAGCCTGCCTGGATGCTCTGGGTCTTGTCAACTAAGCAGGGTCATCCATATTGCTGGCACTTTATTGATGCTTCACGTGTTTCTGAAAATCTGGCCTTGGGGGGTAGGATGTCCAGATGAATATTTCTGGGTTTTCTCCCCTTTTTTGGCTTTCTCGGTTATGGTTTCCCAAAGGTGATTTTCCAAAAGGCAACTGGACTTTCTTGGTTTTTGGAAACCAAGGCTGGAGGAAACCAAAGAAGCTTCTTAGATGAGAAGCAAAACTTAAAAAAAACCAAGAAAATCCAGTTGCCTTTGGGAAAAGCATCTTTGGGACAACCATGACCTGGATTAGAGAGAATCTCCAGAGAGATTCATTATGGATTGTTTTTCTGGTCAACCTTGTCTTCTTTTCTCTGATATACATCACTTCTCAATGTTATTCCTTGTAAGCCACTGAGAGTTTCCAGAGTGAGCAGCCTTGAACCCTAAATGAAACATATTCTCTCATGCTTTAATTCCAGTTCCTGGTGAAGAAGAGATAGTGAAAGAAAAGAAAAAAGAAAAATCACACAAAGGTTTGTAAGCTTTTGTAACAGCCAGTCATTTTAGCCAGAATGCTATTACTGCAACTGTTTCGGATCTTATGGTTTAAACCAGAATATTTAATTGTTTGTTTGTTTGTTTATATCCTGCCTTTATTATATTTACAAATAACTCAAGTCAGTGAACGTACCCGATACTCCTTTCTCTTCCTGTTTTCTCACAACATCAATCCTCTAAGGTGAGTTGAGCTGAGAGAGAGTGACTGGCTCAAGGTCACCCAGCCAGCTTTCTCACCTAAGGCAGGACTAGAACTTACAGTCTCCTGGTTTCTGGTCTGATGTCTTCACCACTAGACCAAAGTGGCTCTCTTAATAACCCATATTAAGAGTTTGCATGATGGCAATTGTGGTGGCAGAACAGTGTTATTTCTCTGTCCTTATCACATCTCCCAATAGCCACCTGTTGACCCTGTTCAAGGTGACCCAGTCAGTCACAGGATGATCTGCAGGGCTGTTGTGAGAAATATTCCTGATATTTGGCAGATAAAGTTGCTTGGATCAGCTCAGAGTGTCTGGACCAGGGGTGAAATTCTCCCAGTTCAGACCGGATCACCTGATCCGGTAGCGATGGCGGTGGGTGGTTCGGAGAACCGGTAGCAAAAATCCATGTGCCCCCCCCACCATGCCCAGCTGAGCCGCACGATCATCAAAGGCTTTTGTTTTTTACTTTTAAAAGCATTTTTTCTACAACCTCTTCCGACGAAAAAATGCTTTTAAAAGTAAAAAAAAAAGCTTCTGATGATCGTGCGGCTCAGCTGGGATCGTCAGAGGCTTTTCAAAGCATTTTTTTCTACAACCTCTTCCGACGAAAAAATACTTTTAAAAGTAAAAAAAAAGCTTCTGATGATCGCAGGGCTCAACTGGGATCGTCAGAGGCTTTTCAAACCATTTTTTTTCTGCAACCTCTTGGCCGAAAAGGTGGTAAAAAAAATGATTTGAAAAGTCTCTGAAGATCCCAGCTGAGTTGCCTGATTGGCAAAGGCTTTTCAAAGCATTAGAAAAAATGCTTTGAAAAGTTTTTTTAAAAAAGTTGGCCACGCCCACCTAGTCACATTACCCCCCCCCAAGTCACACCCACAGAACTGGTAGTAACAAATTTTACATTTCACCCCTGGTCTGGACAGGTCCTGATGAGGTACCTATGATATGGCCTTCTACTTACCTGGAGCACGTTTGCCTCTGTAACTCCTGGGGAGGTAGATGGGCTCCTCCAGTCTGTCAGCTCAGCCCCCTGTTAGTTAGACCCTCTCAGATGGTTCCAGCTGCCCAGCAAGTGGCCTGTGTCTGGGTAATGTGGTGTTTTCTGCAGGAGGGGACAGTACCGTCAGCCTTGAAGGAGTCTGTGGTGTGCCTCTCCTTAAGGGGCAATTGCTGGACCCCATCATCCTTGACCACTTTCATCCAGTCTCGAACCTTCCCTTCGAACAGAAAGCATTTGGGACTATCAGGCTTCCACTCTAGAGGACCTGAAGGAAATAGATGATCTAGACCTGTTCAGTTGGGATTCAGGCCAGGGTTCAGAATGGAGGCAGTTCGGTTCCATATGTCGAAGTCCTGTGGCAGAGCAAAATGAGAGTGGTGCATCCATCTTGGTACTTCTTGGCTCCTTGGTAGCGTTCAGTACCATTGACCATTGTACCAAGGCCCCATTTGAGGGAAGCTTCGGGGACTGGGAGTAATGGTTTACTGGCACTGCTCTCCTCCTTCCTCTGTGGCCTGTGTCAATTGGTCTTGATAGGGGCAAGAGGTCAATTCTCTCTTCAGGTCTGCTTAACCTCTAGATCAGGAGTCTCCAAATGTGGCAATTTTAAGACTTGTGGGCTTTCTGGCTGGAGAATTCTGGGAGTTGAAGTCCAGAAGTCTTAAAGTTGCCACGTTTGGAGATCCCTGATCTAGATGAACCATTGGGTGAGGTCATCCATCAGTTTGGGCTCTGGGCTCATCATCATGCTGATCATACCCAGTTGTGCATCTGAACTGGGGGACAAGTGACATTCTTAAAGTCCTGATCCACGACCAGACCGGAGGCTTTGCAAACCAGGATGGGGAGAAACAGGCTCAAACCCAGTCCTGACAAGACCAAATGGCTTTGTTGGTTTGGCTTCCGTGGGCCCAAGGACATTCCTTCTTTGGTCTTTAATGAAGTGACACTTCCCCAGGCAGGATGGGTGCACGAGGGCAGGTCCTCCTGAACTTCCAGCTCCTGATCAAGGAGGAAGTGGAAGCTGTGGTGAGGAGAGTTATTCCACACGTCAATCTGGTATCCCAGTTGCACCTGTTCCCGGCCCAGGAGGCTCCTCAGAACAGTCCATGATGCCTTCTTCACCTTGCAATTGGACTCCTGTAATGTGCTTTATCTGGGGCTCCATGGGAGACTACTCAGATGCTACAACTATCCAGAATGCAGCAGCGTGTGCAGTGGAGGCCCTGTACATGTCCCCATTGCTTCACGAGCAGCATTGATTGTCAGTGGCCTTCTGGCTGCAGATCAGGCTGCTGATTATCACCTATGAAGCTCTTCGTGGCTTAGAGCCCAGCCACCAGGGATCGCACGTCTTTCTATGTTTTGACCTGCCCAGTGTAGTCAGCCACAGTCGGTTTGCTCTGGATCCTATCAAGCACTGCCATACAGATCCAGGAGGTGTGTCTTCCCAAGGATGGCTCCGCCCCCTGGAATGATATTACTGCTCACCCAGAAATCCATACTGCTGACATCCTATTTAAGTTTCACAAATTGCTGAAAATTTGGCCTTGGGGTAGAATGGCTGGTTGAACCCCGTTGTTCCTGTTTTTGTTGTTTGTTTGTTTGTTTTTCTATTAAGGACTGGTCTTCCATCAACTGTCTTTGCTTTGCTTTTTATATCTTACTTTTAATGTTACTTTTAAGCTACCTACAGTTGTTCCAGAGCAGGCAGTCATGACATTGGAATATTACATTAATCCCAATATACTCTGTCATTTTCTAGCTCATGCCCCCGATGATGAAGAAAAACCAAAATCAGAAAAACCACACAAAAGTATGTAAGCCAGCTACTAATATTACTTTAACTTTTTTGGGATCTTGTGTTTTGAAACGTACTTAGCTGCATTGGCTTCTTGAAGGTCTGATGCTGCTTCACCCTCACCGTCAGCCTTCCATCACCTGGATGACTGTGGGGATGCGGGCCAAGCAATGGGAAGGAGGCCCATGCGAGAGAGGAAGGGAGGATCTGCCCCCCCTCTATTCAGGAGGAGGAATGGAGACCCCCTGCTTTCTGACAGGAGCCTGGGATGCTGTCAGTTGTCTCTTCAGAGAGGGAACAGAGGTGGTCGAGGGGCAGATCTGCAGATAGCAAGCAAATTGCCTTGAAGGAGATAGGCAGGAACTGTTTCCTAGGCAAGAGAGGCTGAAGCATTTTTAAAGTCCAGAACAGACCTCTCAGTGGTGTGTCCAGGGTCCAAAGTGTGGCCTCCTCCTTGGTGAAACCTGGGATGAGTCTTCTGTCCAGCATCATTAGTCCATCAAAGAGTGGAGGGAGTTTAATCTAAGATGAACATTTCATGTACTACAAAGATGATTTGGAGGTGGGAGGAACTTCTAATGTAATTTACTGGATTTTCTGCATGGATTGCCTCTATGACTATTTAAGACAGATGGGGAGGAACCAGACTGTGAGAACACCAGCGAGTGATTAGACAAGGAGACCCGAACTCATTGGTAGCTTCACGTTGCAATGAACAAGGACATGCATTAGGTCTCACAGCTACTATGATTGTTGGCCGAGCAGGGACAAAAATAGCCAGACGAATAATTGAAGCCTGAGAAATGGGCCCCTTGCCAGTCAATAAGAGTGCTGATTTATCGTCAGCCTATCAGGTATGTAGAGCAGTGGGCATGAGGGCATAAAGAAACAACAACTAATAACTTAATAACCTGCCATCAGCACCCTAATTAACAACCGAAAATCTACACACAACCAGCCACTATATAAATACAATGCATAGAACAGCTCAGGGCACACTTTCTGGAGAGAGAGAGAAGTTCCCTGATGATGGGCTTGGAAGAATAAACCTCTGGTCCTGGTGACCAAACCAGATTGGATCTTGCAACATTATCCTGGGACACGTATATTTGCCTCCATTCATGTGACCATTTCATGTCAGCGCCTTTCATTTAGCTAGCCTGTCAAAGGCCCTGTCCTTCAGTCGTTGGCATTTCCTCAGGGCTGCCTGTCTCTGAGACCATCTACTCCCAAGAGATTCCACCCATCCTTTTGCCTAAGGAAGATGCTTGTTGAGGGTTCAACTCTCTCCAAGGTTTCTGGGGGAAGAGTGGTCCCAGGCTTGCGGTCCCTACAGGACCGAGCTTCTTGTTGAATGCCTTTCCACCAGGAGTAAGATTTGCGTCCCCCGCCCTATCTTTAAAGAAGTTTTAAAAACTCATCTGTTCCAAAAATGATTGGAGAACCTGAGGGACTTTTCCCTGGAATGAATGTGGGTTGAAGATAAAATGCAAATGTTAATTGGGCATGGAATGAGTGACCAATGTGAAAAGACTATGTTACAGTATAGAGTAACAGAATAACTGGAAAGGACTTTGGAGGTTCTCTAGTCCAACATCCTATACCATTGCAGACAAGTGGTTGTCCAGCTTCAAAATTCAACTTCCAGAGTTTTGCCATCCAGCAGCTCTTAAAAACCTCCAGTGATGGAGCACCCACAGTTTCTGGAGGCAAGCTGTCTACCAAATAATTGTTCCTACTGAATACTTCCTCTTCGGTTCTAGGTTGGATCTCTCTTTAATGATCTTCCACCTGTTACTTCTTGTTGTGCCTTCAGGTGCTTTGGAGAATAGGTTGACCCTCTCTTCTTTGGGGAAGCCCCTTAGACAGTACAGTGGTTTATTTTAGTCAACTGCAGATTGGATTGGACTATCCACTTAGGGAGGACGAGTGAACGGGTCCACAGGAAAGGGAAGTTGGGGGAAACGGCGGTTGGATGCAGCTGAATAAGAGGGCACAACTTCTTTTTTTTTGAATTTTTTTTATTTATTTTTAAACATAAAACATAAAACACATCTTTTTAGAGCAAAGGTTTGATCCGGTATAAAATAAGTATAAATTCCAATTTCATCCATTAACATCTTAAAGAAGAAAAAAAAAGAAAAGAAAAGAAAAAGAAAACAAATCTAAACCCAATTCTTATCATTCAATCTAACATTTTGTTCTAGCATTTAACATTCTACTATATATCACTCTAAATCTTAAATTCCAAATCTAAACAGCTTTTTATAATATTCATTTATCATTTTAACAATCAGTATTTCATATATTTTCCTTACTTCAAAGACCCAAATCAAATCAGTGTTTCTTCAAAATCACATCTAAAGTCCGACATAAAATATTTTATTCCTCTCTTAAGAACATTTCAAAATCCATTCACTTTAAAATTTATTCCACATTTCCATCTATAATTTATTATATCCAAAATATTTTATTTTTGCTAGTTAAAGCTTCTTCTCCATTACAACTAATTACAACTAATTCTAATGTTTAAGTAGTTCATAACTTATATAGCTATTCCCCAGCAATATTTTCCTCCACTTCTATCAATTTGGCTTTAACTATTCTTCAAAAATATCCCCTTCACTCCTCCTAGGTTTATTTTTGGCTGGATTACAGTTTAGTTAGCTTGTTTCCAGGGATGCTTTCCTCCACTCCTAACCTTATTTGTTGGCTGGATCACAGTTTGGTTTTAACTGCTCTCCAACATTTTCTCCTCCATTCCTCCTAGTTTTATTTTTGGCTGGATAATGGCTTAGTCAGCTGTTTTCCAGGGATGCTTCCCTCCGCTCCTAACCTATATTTAGCTGGTTCACAGTTTAGCTTTAACTGCTCCCCAGCATGGTCTCCTCCACTCCTCCTAAGTTTATTTTTAGCTGGTTCACAGTTTAGTTAGCTGTTTTCCAGGGGTTCTTTCCTCCACTCCTTATCTTATATTTAACTGGTTCACAGTTTAGCTCTAACTGCTCTCCAGCATCATCTCCTCCGCTCCTCCTAAGTTTATTTTTGGCTGGTTCACAGCTTATTCAGCTGTACTCCAAAGATGCTTTCCTTCACTCCTAACCTTATATTTGACTGATTCACAATTTAACTTTAATCATCTAATGCATTTTAATATATATCTTCTCTCCTTCTCTCTCCTGATCTATTAATTTTCTTTAAATTTCTCCCCTTTCCTATTTGTTTCTTGTTTTTCTATGAAAAACAATATTTTAAATCATTTTGAAAACCAATTTACCATAATTATAAAATCTATAAACGTCTTATTAGTGTTTAAAAATTGATTTCCATTCTCTTATTTACTATGAAAAAACAACATTTTAATTCACTTTAAAATCAATTTTCTGCAACCATGAAAGCTCTTATTAATATTTAAAAAATTCTTTCATAGTCTTCACATTTTTTGTAGTTTTCTATAATAACTTTTCTTGCTTTAAAAATAATCATAAAATCTATAGACAATTCTTGTTACTATTCAAAGCTTCATTCACATTTTCTTATTTTCTATAAAGAACAATATTTTAAACCCTTTTAAGAAATCAATTTTCTGTAATCATTAAGTCTATCAACAATTCTTATTAGTAATCAAAAATTCATTCATAATCGTCATGTTCCTTATAGTTTTTCTATAATCACATTTTTCCCATTTTGAAAATTGCTTTTCTCAATAATAATAATAAAAAGTAAAAAAGGAAGGAGAAAGAGAGAAGAAAAAAAGGATAAAAGTAAGGCAAAAGAGATCAAAAGAAAAAATTAGAAAAAGAAAGAGGAAGAAAAAAAAAGAGGAATAAAATAAAAAAATTATAGGAAAAAAGGAAAAATTAGAAAAGAGAGAAAAAGAAGGAGGAAATCTCCTCACATTATTTAGACATTAATTGCATAAAGAGCATTTACCTCCATTTAAATCAGACTGTCGTATTTTTTCTTGTCTTGCTACTCAATATATTCCAGTTTTTTTTCCTTTCTCCAATCTGTCCATCTTTTTTTTTCTTTCCTTTCAATTCCAATATCAGTAAGGTTATAAAGACTAAAGGGTTTAGTTCTTTGTATTCTATATATGGTGTCATCATGTCTTCTTCCGTTGCTACGCCCTTCCCTTTTGTTGCCACGCCATTAATCAGCAGTTTTAATTGTTCCGATTAATTCCTTCTTTCCAACTGTCCATAAGTAGTCCAGAGACAGATTAAATGCATCTAAAATCAGGCCTCCTTAGTGGGCACAGCTCCGAAAGCACAAGACGCAACACACCTGGTGATATATTGCTGTCATAGGAGGAAGGATGGTTCCCGAAAATAGAAAGGCTTGGTGAGGTGCAGGGAATGGTGGTGTTGTTTAAACTAGAGCTTAACTATGCTGTCCCCCTTTCTCCGCTTCCTTTTTGTTGCGGGATTAACGTTTCTTGCCCTGCTTCTGCTTTTTCCATCCGTGGTTTATCCCCCAAAAATAGCGTGATGGGCATGCATTGACATGCAGATTTGATCAAGGCCAGAATAACGTCTGGCAGCCCAGGCAGCTCTAGCATGACAGCCAGGTGAAAAGAGTCCAAAGGAGGGTTAGATCCTCACTTGAAGGTAAAGCACCACTTCCTTTCCATGCCCAGGCAGAACCGGCACTTTCTGTCACTGTCCAGGTAGGCCTTGACTTACAACCACAATAGAGCCCAATTTTTTTGTTGATAAGCAAGAATTTTGCCCCATTTTACAAGCTTTCTTGCCACAGCTGTTAAGCGAATCCCCACAGAGGTTAAGTTAGTGACACAATTGTTAAATGGGTCTGACTTTGCTCGTCAGAAGGTCACACGACCCCGAGACATAGCAACGGTCACAAATACGAGCATCTGAATTTTGATCACGTCCCCATTTGGATGCTGCAATGGTCATAAGTGTGAAAAATGGTCATAACTGACCTTTTCCAATGTGTTGTAATTTCGAACAGTCACTAAAGGAGCTGTGGTAAGTCGTGGAATACTGTATTTAATTAGGAACAAATGCCTCGCTCGTCTTGGGGTGAGACACAGCTGGGGAAGTTGGATGTAAAAACCCACTGTGTTATTTTCTAGGTCACAAATCAAAACATCCACCACCACCACCACCGCCGCCGCCACCACCCAGTAAGTGAATTTTGGAACCAACCCTTTCTTATCTGAAACACTACTAATATTGATTTAACTGTTAAAAAGCTTGTAACTAAAGGTCTTTGCACCTCTGAGCGTCTTTCTAGGCCTGGTGCAGATTCACCCTCCCTACAGCCTTCCATCACCAGGATGGTTGTGGGGATGCGTGCCAAGCAGTGGGAGAGAGGCCCCTCCGAGAGAGGAGGGAAGGGAGGCTCTGGACCCTCTCCAGGCAGAGGAGGAATGGAGACCCCCCCCTGCTAAGCCTGGGATGCTGTCAGAGGAAGCCCAGGGGGATGCATCCCAAACAGTGAAGTCCTTGGCGGTAAAACTGAATATAATCTTTTTCCGTGTTTGTTTTCCCCAAAACCAGGTCTTAAAACCGTGGTAATACGATTCCTCATAGGACACGACTGCGCCACAATATGTCTTATACTTATCTTCTTCCTTGTTGTCATCACTTTGTGGATGGCCATTCTGGGTAAGTTTCTAATTATATCCAGCGGGTTCCACACAGGAGCATTTTCTACTCAGAACAAAAACAAGGAAAGTTGGCAATTTAGAAAGAATGGCTATGGTGTCTTTATGGCACGTCACTATTTGCGCCTTGCGCGCAACATAAAATACCAGCAAAAGGAAATCTCAGCCAAAATCGGTACCAGTGATGTTCCCACCATCTCTCTGGAATTCCCAGGTACAAAGAACTGAAAATGTAGCACAGGTGCCTCTGTCCCCTTCTTAATCACAGCGATTGAGGGCTAGATCTGGCAAGGGCAAAAGCAGACAGGCTGAAACTTGTCTGGTCTGTTAAACGGGTGTCAGCCACTTCTCATGTGCCAAAGGGTTAGGCTCTGAGCCCATTTCCCCATCCAAGCGGCAGAAATAGGCACCAGAATGACTATTGCTCTGGGCTGCCAGTGGAAGCATGGCGATCGAAACACATGTCTGTGGCGAGCAGAGATGATGATGATGGCAAAGAGTGAACAAGTAGGAGAGGATGGGAGATTACCCTCATGGAGGGAAAAGCATTGTTCCCAAGTCCTCCAAGAGCTGATTCGAAATATTAGATGAAACATCATTCATTCAGGAGCTGGAAAAATGTACCCTGTGCTTCCTTTTTCCTGGATGGACATGGAGATGGATGGAAACTAATCAAGGAGAGAAGAATCCTAGAACCAAGGAGAAATTTCCCAACAGGGTTGACATTTTACTTTTAATTAATGAGCTGTTCAATTTTAATGTAGGGGTCAAAGGTAATGTCACAGCAAGGCAAGAGTTAACAAGAGGGGTCAAAGAGGCCATCTATCTTAAAATTGAACAGCCCTCTCTCAACAGAGGGATACAACACCACCCATCTCCAGTTTACAACACAGTCCTTTCAGCAGTTCCAAGAAGGTTCCACACACATTTGACTATTCTGGTGATCCTGAGGACACAGATAAGCCTCCAAGTGGCCTCAATGACTCTCAGAGAGAGTGCAAACAGCCAGATGAGTGCAAGGCCTTCCATTTTCCACCATTCAGTGAGAACTGAAGAAGCGTCCTGAATGAGAAAAACAAAGTCCAGTTGCCTCTTGAAAAAGCACCTTTGGGACAACCATGATATTGACTATACATTGAAAAAGAAGTAATGCAACTGTTGGAAGAAATGTCCGTTCCAAATGGGGAGAAAGACACTGGAAACATGGAGGCGCTTGGAAGGATGGTTTAATGGTGAATAGGACCACATGGATTTGAAGTCCTGGGTAGCTGACCACATGGAGTGGAGAGTGAGTATTATTTTATACTCTCTCTTGGGTTTTGACCTTGAGCTTCCTGTTCCTGTGGCAAGGGCATGTATCCTATTGGTTGCAGACTTCCATGTAGAGTCATGTTTGTCTGAATTGAGTTTGGTTGAACCTTTCTGGGTGATGTAAAGAAGGGGCCTGGTTGTGGCATTTCATGCGCTAGATAATCCTATTATGTCCTGGAGGGCCATGTCTTAATCCCATCACCCTGGAGCTGAGGTCTTTTGTTTTGTAGATAGGCTGGCCCAGTCTTAATGTGCAACAAATGTCTGCTGGGGGCAGGGAGCTTCAGGGAGTGTTGTGACCTGCCAGCTGCCAGCAGAGCTGCCTGGAGACTCGGACGATGAGGAGGTTTGGGAGGAACCTGGGCCAGTGCTGGAGTCTGGGGAAGGCTCTGATGGATGCTCTGCATCGGATGCTGAGATAGAGCCAGGGCCATCCAACATTTCCCAGCTGCCAGAGAGGCAGCTGCCTTTGGAGGCTGAGATGAGTGAGGAGAAAGAACAGCTGGGGCCTGTTCCAGATGCATGTTTGCACAAAGCTGTTAGGAGAGGAGAACAACGGAGGACAAGGAGCAACTCGGGAAGCAAAGCAACATGGATGCTGAATGGCCCCTCCCTGGCTGGGGAATAAATAGAAGGAAAGGGGAGTAGTTGTCGTAGGAGACAACCGTTCGTATTTCTGAAGATTTTGCTCATTGTGTTTTGTGCCACAAAGACTGCTTGCCAGAACTTCATTTGCAGCCTTCCGGCTGGGAGCTCACAGCCTTGCAATTATTTCAAGGAACTGATAAGGTCTGTTACTGCAGTTAACTCCTTGAAGGACTCTTTCCTGGACTTTTTGGTGGGTGAATGCCATTAATCCACAAGATTAAATAAATAAAGACGGCTTTTCGAGGCAAGGAGTCTGTTTCTTGCTTCTGCTAAGGCTGGGTCAGAACAGGGTTCAGGTTAGTCTTTGCTGCTTTGTCTGTAAAAACATGTTTCTCCTTTTCTCATCCAGGGAAATATAATATTCTGCCTTTTTAATATTTCCTAAAATATTCCATTCTTCTAAGAGGGCTGGGTGCTCACTTTCTTCACAACTTTGGCGTAAAACATTACTTTAACAACAACAGTGTTCAGCATTAAAAAATGTTCTCCTCCCTCAACAATCATTTTCAGGATAACTGGAAAGAGATTGAAGAACCAAAAGCAATTTATTTGTTCCCAGTTCAAGGACACCTAAATGAGTCACTCAAACTCATAGGCTGCAATTTAAGATGAACTGATATTTACTTTGGGTGTGCATGTGTCGCAGTATTATCTCACAGCTAAAGTCCCTGTATTGATCAACTTCTCTTTCAGTGTGGCAAGAAAAGGTGAGATATGAGCCTCTTCGTAAGGCAATACAGAACATTAGGAAGTTCATGGTTGCACAGAATCCTGACCTTAAGGTATTTAATGGTAAGTAATGTTACAGTCTAAATGTACAAACCTATTCCTGAGGCTACCTGGCATCATTCCCTCCCTCCCTCCCTCCCTCCATCTCTATCCCTCTGTCTCTCATCCTGTGAGAGCGGGATGGGGGAAATGCAGCCATCCTTGCTCTCCTTGACCTTCCAGTGGCCTTCGATACCCTTGACCATGGTATCCTTTTGTGTCGGCTACAAGGGGTGGGCCACCTCAGACAGAGCCAGGCTGCAGCTTGGGGGTTCTCCCGTACCCGCGACTCCTGCTGAAAGAGCAGGGGGCAGTCGGGGCTAGGAGAGCCTTTGCACAACTCCCTCTTGTGCACCAGTTGCAGCCTTTCCTGGACTGGGAGTCCCTGCGCTCAGTCACTCAAGCCCTGGTCAACACCTGTTTGGACTATTGCAATGTGCTCTACCTGCAGCTTCCCTTGAAGAGCATTTGGAAGCCACAGCTGATGCAGAGTGTAGGGCTGCGGGCAGTTCTTTGGGCCCCTGGAGTGGTCCTTGTTACCCCACTGCTTTGAGAGCTTCACTGGCTGCCACCTTCTTTCCTGGTGCAATTCACACTGCTGCTTATTACCTTGAAAGGCCTGCATGGCATGGCTCCATTTCACCCTGGTGAGACTGGCCCACCCCATTCGTGCCGGCACAGCGGGGGCATGTTGCGGATCCCGTCAGCCAAGGAATTTTGGCTGGTGGGCTCCAGAAGAATAGCCTTCTCTGCCATGGCTCCTGTCCTCTGAACATCCCACCCCCTGAGGTGAGATCGGCTCCCACGCCCCTGACTTTTCATTAGAGCCTTACCTACCCAACTGAAGGATAAATATCCAACAATTTCAATCCCCCTAGCTAGATTAGCAGCAGAATGGAAGGGTTAAACATTCACCTGCTGCTGCAGATATTCCTCAGGTGCTCCTTCGGTTTCAGAAAACTAGCCACATGTATTCCCTAGAGTCAGGGAGAAGATGTCAGACTGAAGATCCAGAGAACCTTGAACCAACCTCGTAACAGAATAACAGAGTTGGAAGGGACCTTGGAGGTCCTCAAGTCCAACCCTCTGCTCAAGGAGGCGACCATGGACCATTCCTGAGAAAGAGTTGTCCAATCTCTTCTTGAAAACCTCAAAGGAAGAAAATGCACAAGGGAAGAAGAAAACGACACCATCCTTCCTGGATATCCTTATCAGCAGAGACTCTGATGGCAGACTGGAAACACAAGTCTACCGAAAAACCACCCACCCCAGCCAAATGCTCCACTACCAAAGTACCCGACCTCCCGCGAGAGAAGCTGCGGAAGAACACTGTTTAGATGGGCACAGACTCACTGCAGCAGCCCTGAACCCTCTGGAAAAGGAAACAGGCCGTCTATACAACATTTCCCAACAAAATGGATATCCACGCAACTTTACCCAAAGTGCCCGACCACTCAACCCACCACCGCACAACCAAGTACAGCACTGACATTTATCAAAAATATCTCAGAATCAACCAACAGGCTACAACAACCGCATGACATCACCTAGCACCCAAACCAACTGAAGCCCCCCAAAGCCTCCTAAGGAAACAAAAAAATCCAGCAGCCCCATAAGAGAAAACAGGAGCCATTGACAACATACGGTGTGTAAAGACTGCAACTGCCACTACATAGGACAAAACATGCACCACAGATGGACTCTGGTTTCCACTGGGATTCCTTCTTCCTCTCAGTCTTCAATCACCCAGATTGCTGTGCTTTACCATTGCCCTCTTCCCAGGGCTGAGAGTGAGGGACTGGCCCAGGCTCTGTGTCTAAGGCAGGATGAGAATTCATGGTCTCCTGAGCCCTTAACCCCAAACTGGCTTTCTTGCCTTGCTGTGATATTATTGACTCCTGCAGATGTTGACATTCTCACAGTGGAAACAGGAAGTTAACACACTGCTTTCCAGAGTGAGCTTCACAAAGACACCTACCTATGTCTCCCTAGTCCAGCGAGAAACCGCACAGCATCGGTGGCAAAGGCTGGGTTTTAGCTTTGTCAGAGAAAGTAAAGTAACCTATTTGGCCTTGGGAATCCCTTTGGGAACAGAGAAGAGGAGCTTTTGAGGGGTCCTTGGTGCTCTCTGAGCTCGGTGGTTTTCTTGCACCCAAACTAAGTGACATCGTCAGTGCCAACATGTACGTGCTGCTGACGTTACCAGGTTTGGCTCACGAAATGTCTGCAAGAAAACCACCGAGCTCAGAGAGTCCCAAGGACCCCTCATTTCAACCCTGAGCTACAAATATTCTCCTTTAACCGAAGGCCTTTTCCTAGCTGTGTGATCCTACACATATCTTCAGATGCTTGTTTTGTGGTGGGGTGGTGCTGGAAGATGAGCTCTTTGGAAAGAGGCAGAAAGCTGTTCATATCTAAGTAAGCTTTCTTGCTGCATTTGTTTCAGATGTTGATATAATCCTGGAAGCTGAAAAGCTTGCAACTCAACTGTTGCCATGGTCTACAAAGCTCAATGAAATTGAAGCTGAGATTAGTATGTTTCTCACAGGTTTTGACAGATAAGTATAGTATGTGAAGGGAAGGAGAGCCCACCCTGAAACTGGAGTGTTGGTGCTGGGGTGGCCTCTGGGGGGTGGGTGGGTTGAAGTCCCACCAACCTCGTGGTGGAGGTGTCTATGAGAGGGTTTCCTGCTTGAGCAGAGGGTTGGACTACAAGACCTCCAAGGTCCCTTCCAACTCTCTTAGTCTGTATATATATAAGGTGGGGAGCCTTCCAGTTGTGGCAGTGTGATCAAAATCCTGCCTCTTTGTGGAGACTTCAGCACCACCTGCACATGTAAAGGGGGAGGGGCTTTGGGTAGACAAAATCTGCAGGTAGTCCTTGCTTAGCAAGCCCAATTGGGACCGCCAAGCACAACGGTCGCTCAGCAGAACAATCACATGACCAGGATGGATTTACCACCTCCCTTCCCCTGAAGTGAGATTGATGAAATGAAGCGTTGTGGCCATTCAGGAAACATTTCCTGACCACAACCTGGGACTTTACTTCTGCCTTTTCTATTCATCCTGCTTGTGGCAAACCCGTTGCAGCTCATGTGACTGAGGGATGCCGAGATGATTGTAAGGACAAGGTTTGGTTACATAGCCAGGTTTTATGCCAAAATGAGGCCGTCGGTAAGCAAGGACTAATTGCACATTTACCAGCTCAAAGAAGGTAGGGATTTTCTCTCTGGGATTTCCATAGGTCTATTCCAAATCGCCACCTTCATTTTTCACGATGGAAAAAACTCCAAAATTCATGGTTAGAGCAGGGGTCTCAAACTCAAAGCCCGTGGGCTGGATCCGGCCCACGGGGCTGTCCGGGTCTACCCAAGGCGAAGAGGAAAGATTGGGCCAGCGTGGCTTCGGCCCAATCTACCCAATGCACAGGGGAAACATGCCAGCAGTTTGGAGAGTGGCATCAAGATGGCCACGCCCACCCAGTCAGCCACACCCACCCAGTCGGCCATGCCCACCCGTCCCCCTGAGATCAACCACAGCCCTGATGCGGCCCTCAATGAAATTGAGTTTGACACCCCTGGTTTAGAGGATGTGACCCTTGTTCTTCTCTAACTTTAATGGTCAAACATTCTCCTCAGGATAATGCATTACTATGAAATATATTTAAAAGTAAGAGGTAAGGAAGAAAAATTTAGAATGCCCTGAACACATCCTCTATTAGATGTCTATTGATTGATGAACAGGCACAGGAAGAAGGCAGCAGAATAACTTCTCCAACTGATGAGTAGATATCCTCGTAGATAGAGATTGCCTTTCTTTCTTTATTCTGAAATTTATTTGCCACCCATCTTGCATACAAGGACTCTTATATAGAGATTGCCATCACACTGTTCCTCTTCAGGATAAGCAACAGCATGCAAAGCAGCAATTAAAGAAATAAATAAAGGAAATTAACTATGCAATTTTTAAATAGAAAGAAAAAAAACATATAGCTCAATCTAGAGCAGTGGTTCTCAACCTTCCTAATGCCGCGACCCTTTAAGACAGTTCCTCATGTTGTGGTGACCCCCAACCAGGGGTGGGTTCTAAATTTTTTTACTACCGGTTCTGTGGGCGTGGCTTATTTTGTGGGCATGGCTTGGAGGTCATGTGACTGGGTGGGCGTGGCTAGCTGGTCGTGTGACCGGGTGGCCATGGCTATGTGTATAGGGACTACTCAGAGGGCTGAAAAAGTCATTTCTGACAGGTCCTCGCACTTTTGACTGGTCCTCACACTTATGACCAGCCTCACATTTATGCCCGTGCAGCATTCTTAACAACCATGTCACTCATTTCACAACTGCTTCTCTTCACCATGGTGACAAGATAGGGCAAAAACGTAAAATGTGAGGACAGTCGTAAGTTCGAAGACTGGTCAAAAGTGCGAGGATCAGTCAGAAATAACTTTTTCAGCCCTCTGAGTAGTCCATATGCATAAAAAAATACAGCAATAGAGAGGGATGAAGGAAGGGAAGGGAAATTAGAGTAGGAGTGAGGGTAAGAGAGGGAGGAAGAGAGGAGGAGAAGGAGAAAGGAAGAGGAAGTAGGGAGGAGAAGAAGAGAGGGGGGAAGAGAAAGTAAGAAGGAAAGAAAAGAGAGAGGTGGTAGGTTTGAGGAGAAAGATTGCTGTACCATAAAAAAGATGAAAGGGAAGAAAGCCAACCCCAAACAAATATAAAGATATTAAGATAAAGAATGAATTGTTAAACTTTAAAGAATAAAAGAGAACAAATATGAATAAATAACAATAATTAGAAACACACATACAAACATACAATGTATTTTCTTTGAACAGAGTATTTGGCCGGTTCATAAATTTAAACAGTGTTTAGTCATTTCAATTAAATTTACAATTTCTATATTTCCTTTTTGCCATATTTATTCCTCATCTATTTTTTTTAAAAAAGCAATATTACCCTTCATCCTCATCTCTAATCTTAATCAAATTCAATTTTTCCCTTCTATTCTATTTTATACCCCTTCCCATTGTCATCTATTTTTATATCCATCCTCACATTGGTTAATTATGTAATATTACAGTTGTTTAATATAAATTCAACATTTTAATATAAATCAATTAGTTATATAACTACCTTCTTTGTATATTAATCAATATGAACATGAATATTCCAATTATTTCCATGCAATCCAATTTCTTACAAATCAATTAATTATATTTATCAATAATAATAAACCAAATAATTTCCCCCATATATTCCTCCAAACCACAACTTAACCATTTCTGCTTTCAACACAATATACAATTAATAGTATCTCAATTATTACAATTCCCTAGTTAAATAGAGCTTTTTTCTTTTGTGTTTTAAAATCTCCTCTTTTTCCCTAAATTTCCCGTTGTTTGCACCTACCTTTTTTGGTGAGGAAAAAGAAAAGAAATATGCCTGCCTAATTTTCCAAGTTGCAGCAACAGCAAAGCAGTTTCAGTTTCGTTTTTAAGCATAGATAGGGGGGAAAAAAATCAGTACTCTTTGCAAGGAAGCAGCAGAGCCCTGAGCAAAACAGCTGAGAGCAAATCAGCTGGAGGTCGGGAGCCGATCTAAGCAAGGGCTAATTAGCCTATGCTGAAGCTCTGTGGGCCAATAAAATTACAAAAAAACACTGAACCCTTTGTTAAATTGCTGGCTCCCCCGCCCCTCGCCCACCACTATTTATTGGCAATAAATAGTGGTGCGGAGAGGCGGGGCAAGCCAGCAATTTAACAAATGGTTCGGCTGCACCACTGGCTATAGGGCGGCCCTTTGAAGCCCCGCGGCAAAAATTTAAACAGTTTTTTTTCCTCTAGCCATCGGAGGCAGCAATAGATTGGGAGTGGGCGGGGTAAACGAACGGCCGGCGATCCAACAGAGCAGAGAGTGAGGGTGAGTGAAGGGGGGGCGAGAGAGGGCTTTGGCGACCCCTGTGAAATGGCCGTTCGACCCCCCAAAGGGGTCGCGACCCCCAGGTTGAGAACCGCTGATCTAGAGTATACCCTGATTCTAACTAATTGTGCTTTTTTCCTTTCCATGTCATAATCCTGATTTGGCTCAAAGCTAACGTTCAATACAAATTGAATCATGACTGGATGGCATATAAAGGACACCTTTATTCATTAAATGACAGGTTAAGTGACTATTATGAGTTCAGACAGTATTGTGAAGATGAAAAAGCTGCACTTATTTCAGATATAAGTGAGGAAGAGGAGGTAAGTAAAATATGGTCCCAGGTTTGATAGTTGCTCCATGAAATTTACATGATTGCAACTGTGCTTACAATCTTACTCCAGCTTTCCTTTGCTCTACAGTGTCAACAGGTTACCAGATTTGAAATAATATTTCACTACTTGCTTTTTAGTTTGGATGAAAGACTGGGTCTTGCTGAGAAATAGAAGACTATTGGAGTTAGAAGGTCATGATCTGAGGTTTGGGTGGCATGGAACCTATGTTACAATAAAGCTAAGCTGAATGTCAATTTTAAAAACCATTATGTTAGGCAAGATATTCTTACAGTATAGAATAAATTCAAATTTAGATTCCTCTATCTTTATGGCTTTCAGCACAAAAAAGCATTTTATAGACCAGAAAAGACGTAAGTGGCTAGTATGTGATAAGTAAACAAAGTAAGTAAATAAATATAGGGAAAATAGAATGATATTCATGTCAATGATGAACAGGGAGCTACTTTGTTTCACTGTTCGCCGAATCCTTGTCTCAGCACTCTGCTGGCCAAAAGTGTTGGCCCTACCTTCCAGTTCCAGCCTGCAGGGCTCACGAAGGTAAGTCCTGCACTCGGCCAAATGGTGAGGGCCAGCAGGTGGGCAGGGCAATGTGGGCAAGGCAGCCTTGTGGTCCTGGGCTAGTCGGATTAACGGCTTCGGCGGGTTGTATCTGGCCCATGGGTCATAGTTTGAGGACCCCTGATATAGAGTAAGAAATAATTTGGAATTATATGTGCTGCAAAAGAAATTGGCAGCTCCTTTCTATTTCTTTTCATTCTTTCTTTGTCCTTCCTTCCTTCCTTCCTTCCTTCCTTCCTTCCTTCCTTCCTTCCTTCCTTCCTTCCTTCCTTCCTTCTTCTCCCTCTCTATCTCTCTACACACACACACACACACACACACACACAGAGAGAGAGAGACTGGGTACACAGGTAAATTTTTAACTCTCTTTTCATACTTCTGCACACTTAAAATGCTCACCTTAGCCTTTGGATAATGATCAAGCAGCAAACTAATATTTGTACTTACATTCTTGTAGAGAAAGGGATTAGGAGAGTAAGCAGGCAAAACAATGAACATGAACCAAATATGGAAAACCAAGGACATCAGCTGGCAAACAAATGTAGATTAGTCTGCTGTACTGTGTTCCCTGTAGCTATCTATGGTTGTGAACGTTTGACCTTAAATAAGCAAGACAGGAAGAAACCAACTCATTTGAGCTGGAGAAGGCTTGGACAGCAAAGGTGACTAACAAGCAAGTACTGGAAGAAATAACATCAGACGTTTCACTAAAAGCAAAATCACAAACTGCCTCTCATTTATTTTGGCCATGTCATGCATGGGAATTCACTAGAGAAAGCAATTCAGTTGGGAAGAGTTAGCACAAAAAGGAACCCAGGCTGCTAAAGAACTTTGTGGCTGGACACCATTGAAGCTGGCACCAGCCAGAGCATAAAACAAGCTAGGGGGGCAAGATCGGAAGATGTGGAGAGACCTGGCCCACAAAATCATCAAGAGTCGGACACGGCTGAATGGATAACTTCATCATTACATCATCAGGAGGCATTGCTGAAGAACTGGGTCAATCTTAATTTTTATGGAGGTGAAACCATTGTAGAACTTCATCCAGACCCTCAAAGAGGTTCCACCTGACCAAAGCCTGCACTTTCAGCCTCATGCAGTCAACCAATCGGTCTCATGCCACCTAGGTCCACAGCTTCCAAGACGGCCAGGCTTAAAGAGGTCCAAAAGTTTCTTCTCACTTCTTCCCATGCTCCTCTCCATGACTTCTTCACCAGCAATCTGTATCAACAGTCATAGAGTACACATGCAAGCAAGAATTTGTTTCTGTAGGTGGAACCAACCTGAGATGGCCGAGAGACTGTTTGTCTTCCACTGTGGGTTGACCTGAGTTTGCATCAGATTGTGTTCATTGTGGAAGCACTGAATATGATTGCTGATTTTATGGGGACAAACTAAGGCCAGAGCGAGAGATGAGGGAAGATTTACGGGCTTAGGAGGAGATGAGACAAGGATTCGGTGAACAGTGAAACAAAGTGGCTCCCTGTTCATCTCTCACCATGGTTAGGCGCAAATGTGGACTGGCCCATAGACTAGGTTTGATCATGGCTTCCAGGGCCCTGCTAGTTCACCCAAACGCCTCCTTGGTTCCTCCTGGATGTCCCATTGTTTCAGGAATGCTTCTGGGGAGGCTCTGATTCTGAATGTCCTTCAGGTGAGAATCTCTCCATCATTCATTGTAAATGATGTCTGATTTTTTTCTTTCAGAAGTTCTTAGAAGAAGTAGCTCAAAGAAAGCAAGGTCCTTACTACATCGGATTAGTCCTTAGTTACTTAACAGATAAGTGGCAGTGGTACAATCTTGGAACTGAACCTCCAAAATCGTAAGTGTCTAATTCACATTTGTTTTTTTATAGTCTGAAATGTCTTTTGATCTGAAAGAGGTAGCAGAAGATGCAGTGTGTATGATCATAATTAAATTACTGTACCATGAGGACACAAGCATATAATTCCGGTATTTGTATGATGTTGTCACCAGACATCTGTCAGTATTTGGTAATCATTACAGATTACAGCAGATGGATTGGCATATAGAATCTCTCTCTCTCTCTCTCTCTCTCACTGCATATGTATGTTTGTATGTGCGCACACGTGAGTATTTGTATGTGCAGGTGTATGTGTGTGCATTGCTATCTACCATGTTTTCCCGAAAGTAAGACCGGGTCTTATATTAATTTTTGCTCCAAAAGATGCATTAGGGCTTATTTTCTGGTTAGGTCTTTTTTGGGGGAGAATACAGTATTAAATGCACCATCCGGCTGACAATCTTAACTGGGTCTTATTTTGGGGGTAGGGCTTATATTACGAGCATCCTGAAAAATGATGCTAGGACTTATTTTCCAGTTGGGTCTTATTTTCGGGGAAACGGTACCATCTCTCCCTCCCTCCCTCCATCTCTTTCTCTTCTCTCAACCATCTGTCTGTCTGTCTGCCTGTCTAGCATTATCTTGGACTGGAGAAGTGTGGTCAGATGATAGTCCAGAGAGGGAAAATAGTTAATGTTTATAAGTCACCCAGAATCACCTCAAGATGACATCAGAGGCAGATAAATACAACAAACAAACAAATATAAATATTCATGGGAACCATGAGGAGGAGGGGATGAAAACAGCAACATCCAAGTACCACAAAGATCCTGAAGAGGCAGCTCAAGGGGATGAACAAGATCCATGCCATCAACACCAATCGTCAGATACCGTGCCAGTATAATGAGCTGGCCAAGGAAGGACATAAAAGTGGTGGTGTGGCCCTAAGTTTCCATTCCCAAGTGTTTGTCCTCCATAAGTAGTGTGCACCCCATCCAGTAACACCCACAAGTCCAGAAGCAGCCAAGTGATGGAACGGTTCGCTAGGTAGCTTTGTCTCCCAGTCAGAAGACAGCCCTGGACCTGGTTGGCCATCTCAAATGAAGGAAGCCATCTTGCTTGGCTTCACCCTCCATATGTTTATCCCATCAGGATCCTAACAGTCTCCAGGCATGAGGCTTCCACAGGGTGATCCCCTTGGCTTGGGATGGAGATTTAAAATCTCCTTATCTTTAGCATTGTGTTGGACCTAGAGATGACACAACAAATGGGGTTCAATTCTTTATTCAACTCTGTTTGCACCCAATGGACAGAATCTTGCCAAGCTAAAGCTATAACCTTCTAACCTAAAAGGTAAAGGTTCCCCTCACACATATGTGCTGGTCATTCCTGACTCCAGGGGGCGGTGCTCATCTCCGTTTCAAAGCCGAAGAGCCAGCGCTGTCTGAAGACATCTCTGTGGTCATGTGGCTGGCATGACTCAACGCCAAAGGCGCATGGAACGCTGTTACTTTCCCACCAAAGGGGGTCCCTATTTTTCTACTTGCATTTTTTACCTGCTTTCGAACTGCTAGGTTGGCAGAAGCTTCTAACCTTCTAACCTACTAGATTCTAAGATGTGGCTACCCTGAATCTCGTTCCCTCTTCTTCATCCAGGATTGCACAGCCTCTTATTACAGGCCTCTTCCTGGGAAAACACTGTAGAGCCAAATCTACCCCACCCCCCACCCCCCGGGTTCTGCAGGTGCATATTCCATCGGACATTGGGATGACACTGAGCCCTGAACTGATGGAGGACCTTCCCCAATGCTGTCTTGCAGGGAGATCATAATGAGGAAAAGACCAAACTCTCTGGTGCCCCACAAATGAGTACCCATCAGCTGGACCTCCCCTCCCCCTACCACCCCCAACTGAAACCACCAGCAAGGACGGCAATAGAAACACTCCTCAATTCCTGAAGCAACCAAGAAGGGGGCCACGGTCCATTTTTAAGAAACAGATGCCTAGAGATACGTCACCTTTTGCCATGGCCTGCTCGAAAGGATGGAGGGGGAGATGTGTCCCCAACTCCACCTCTATGTCTCTGCCAAATCAACCACAGACCAACACTTGGAGTTGTTAGAAACTCCCACTGAGGGGAGGGAAGAAGGTGAATGGACTGAACTTTTACTTCCTGCTCCAAAGTCTATAAATGATGCTCATTTTGTCTGGAGGACTGACGACTGTTGTTTCTTCTTTTCAGGTACTGGATGGAGGGAGAACCACGTGACCCTTATAATAATATGTGTGCAGCAATTCACAATGAATGTATAACCCCATTGATGTGTTGGGTCAATCTGGACTGTATGACGGTAGGAAGAGGCATTTGTAAGCAGAAACCTGAGGACAAATGGATAAACTAATTCTTTGCTGAATGTTGCACAAAATTGTATTTGATGAACTCAGTGAGAAAAAAAATGCCAATCGGTGAAGCTGCCTCTTAAAAACAGTTGCCCCAGTCAGCCACTGTGGGGGCATGAAAGAACTCCAGACTTTGACTTCCGCTTCCAAACACCTTTTCCATCCAGACTTTTCAGAGATGAAAGACACTGTCTTATTTAGCAAATAAAAAAGAATGAAAAAAAAAAAAACCCTGGTATTTTCTGTTTTCATTCTATTTAGTTCAGTGCTGGGTGAACTTTATTGCTTGTAAGCTGCCCAGAGTCGCTGAGAGTGATGGACGGCCATATAACTCTAAAATAAATAAACAAGTACAACTTGTTGTACAACATCCTGGAGTATTGAAAGCCCCCCTGAACTCCACCCACTCACCACCCCAGGATTTGCCAATGTAGAGATTTGGTTTTATTGATTTGTTTATTTATCCATCGCACCTGTACTCTGCTGCCTTCAAAAATGTCCTTGGCCTACCTAGAATACAATAGAAGGATTCACAACAACCATTGTTCTTCAATGCATGAAACCATGTGAGAGGCTCAACAAGAACAATAAAAGCATCACTACACACACAAAAAAAGAAAAGAAAAAGAAAAAGAAAAGAAAAAGCCACAAAACAGGCATCATAAAATCAGGCAAAGTCTCTCCTGAACACCTCTGTCTCCAACAATTTCAGAAATGTCCACCAAGAGCAGCACCTTCTCGCTTTAGTGCCCCAGACCTGCTGAACCTGACCACTTGGTAGGACTATCCTACCTTGTCTGATCTTTATAAGTCATCTTTATAAGTTATAACCCATCAGCAGCCAATATAGGCCCCTCCCCTCCCCTCCCCACAGCTTGAGAAGAGCCCGAGAAAGGCTGAGCCGCTCTTTGCCATCCTTTCATTCTCTGTCTCGCTTGGCTTTATTTCAGGAAGTATGCTTTTGGGTCGAGAAATCTGGCACACATTTATGGGAGAAGATTTCTAGACTGGCAGCAGTAAAACTGGCTTGAGCTTGGAAAGAAGAAACAGCTTTGGGAAAAGATAACCGAGGGGAAGGTGGGAGTGCTTCAAAAGGATATCACACACCAAACAACGCTTATTCAGCACCCTTCCAGTCAGAGCAGAGCAGATTTAAATTACAGGGCAGCAGATTCCAGCAGCAGGCTTGAAAGTGAGCAAAAGAAAACCTTCCAAAGAATACTAGGAGTCTTCCGGTGGAACCAGGAGCCCAGGAGCTGCTAAACTCCCCTTCATTGGATTCTTCCTGTAAACTCGGACAGCCCCAGCGGTGCAGAGCTGAAGGATCTTGTTCTCTGTGTTGGGGAAAGAGAAGACTGATCTTTGCAAGGAGGCTTTTTCGCCCACCCCAAAATACGAATCCCCGAGTAATTCAGGCAAAGAAACAAAATGTTTGTTTGTTTGTTTGTTTGATGTATTTGCTGCTCACTTATCTCACCATAACACCTGAAAAACCATTAAAACTTTTCAACAACGAACTTTGCAATACTCATAATTTACCACTAGAAAGATGGGGAAGAAGGGAGCAGGATGCACACACTGACTGGGGGGAGGAGGTCAAGTCTTTTTAAAGGGCAGAGAAACAAATAATAAATACATTCAGCATGTGATGGATGAGAAAGCAACAAACAGTAAAAAAAAAAATTGGACCAGAGAATTAAACAATAGAAAACAGTGATCCTAGAGAAGATTCCACAAGTGGCAAATTTATGGGTTCCATAACCCTCTATCCCGGTCGAGTTTGTATTTTTCTTAAGACTTGCAAATGTATTTAACGACTTCCAGAATTTGCTCCCTATTGTTTAGTTGTTGAATAGGCTAGTTTTGTGCACATTAAAAAATTGCTTCAACTAAAAGGAAAACTGTTTTCCTGAATTTAGAAAAGACTTCCATAACTAAGGATGTATTTCAGCAGTGTGGTAACCTAGAGGTGAACATGCTTGCCTCCCACTTGGAAACAATAAAAACAGTAACAGAGTTGGAAAGGAGGTCATCTAGTCCAACCCCCTGCTCACGCAGGAGACCTGTGCTAGATATTTTAACTGCCGAACTGCCGACCCTTCTGATTGACAAGCTCAGTGTGTTAGCCACTGAGCCACCTAGTCAGGTTTCAATTAGTGGCTGATATTTTCTATCAGAGACAAAGAGACTGGGATGATTTGTAAGGGGAGACCACCTGTGATTGATGAGATGGCGCATGAGAGTGATAGGTTACTTTGGATTCAACCTTCTCACTCGCAGCTTTCTTGGAAGAATGAGCGGCAGACGCGTGTGAGTGTTGGAGTGTTGGGCTTCCTTCCTTGATGTGTTTTTTGCCTGGAGTGCAGTGTGGAAGGAGTCCTTATAACCTTGAAATATCTTCCCATGTTCTGCATTCAACATCTCTAAGCGTTGCATGTCCATCACAAGCTCTGGGTCTTCTAGCTGCTGCTGGATGTTAACGAGATGGCTTTCAGAAACCTTCCATTGCGTGTAAAGTTGCAAACTGTGGGGTGCGTTGCAAACATTAGGAGATGTCGTTGCAGTTTGCTTTTTGACCACTAGGGTGCGTTATGCTTGATGTAGTACACCTGTTGGCCACTAGGGTGCATTGCTTGCTTAGCAACGTGGTTGGCGCACAGCACCTTTTGGCCACTAGGGTGGGTTGGCGCAGTACACCTTTTGGCCACTAGGGTGTGGTGCTTGCCTAGTTTTAACCCTGGTTTGTAGTTTGAAGATGAGCCACCAGAGGACGCTGGCTAGGGGATTCTGGGAGTTGAAGTCCACCCATCTTCAAGTTTCCAAAGTTGAGAAACACTGGTCTAGATGAAGACATCAACAAAAGGCAAACATATAATGAGGGAGCAAAAGATGTTAGAAACAAACCACTGGCTTAAAAAAGGAACCTGCCCTTTATTATTTGGGACCCAGCAGAACCCCCTTTGCTAGCTGTGCTGTTCAGGTAGAAAATTTGGTTACTTTAAGAATTAAGAGCTGTCTCCTTAAGAGATTGCATTATGGGAAATGTAGTCCATGACATGTGACCACATCTGTGTGTCTGATTGGCCACTGAGGCTCTCTGCCCAGGTGTAAAACAAAGCCCCGGCCATTACGAATTGCCACGGAGGAGAGAAGCATGCTTTCTGAACAGGGGGACAGATCTACTGTCCTTTTACACTAAGAATTGGGACAGATTATGAACACCTCAGATGAATCTCACCTTGATTGTAAGCCTATGTTTTGAGAATGCCTGAAAATAAACTTGATCTGTACGAAAACCTGTTGCTAAGAGTTAACTGGCTTCTTCAGGCTAATCATAAAGTCCGGAGACAGAACACTAGCCATGACCAATCAGACTGATCAGATCTGCTAGCCTCAGTCCTACCAAGTGGCCAGGTTCAGGAGCTCTGGGGCACTAAAGCGAGAAGATGCTGCTGATCTTGTGGGATAGCGTCCCGGAGGAGATTAACTTAGACTCCTCTTGGTGGACGTTTCTGAAATTGTTGGAGATGGAGCTGTTTAGGAGAGACTTCTCCTGATTTGATGATGTCTCACTTTTTCTTTTCTTTTCTTTTCTTTTCTTTTCTTTTCTTTTCTTTTCTTTTCTTTTCTTTTCTTTTGTTTAGTGATGCTCTTATTGTTCTTGTTGAGCCTCTTATGTGGTCCAGTGCATTAAAAGCACCATGGATGTTGTGAAACCTTCTAGTGTATTCTATGTAAGCCAAGGACTTTTTGAAGGCAGCAGAGTAGAGATGTGATAAACAAACAAACAAACAAACAAACAAACAAACAAATCCTCTACAATGACTTGGATGGCAAATCCTGGGGTGGTGGGTGGGATGAACATGGAGTTTAGGGGGCTTTCAATACTCCAGTAAGATGACAAGTCGAAACAAATGAGGCACGTAGCTGCCAATGTTTCACTCTTGACTATTTATTTATTTATTTTAAAGATTTATATGGCCGCCCACTCACTCTCAGTGACTCTGGGCAGCTTACAAACAATAAAGTTTACAAACAATAAACAAGCAATATAATATAACCCAACCAGTGTCTTAAATTTTAAAAGAGCTGATTTTACAAAACTCAGAGAGAGCCTAAGCAAAAATTCATGGATAAAAATCCTAAAGGGAAAAACAACTCAAGAAGCATGGGAAATACTGAAAAACATGAACATAAAAGCCCAGTCCAACATAATATCACTGAAAAAAACAACAACAAAAAGAAGAAACCCAAGAAGAAACCAGCACAGTTGCACAAAGATCTCTAATAAATTGAAAGACAAAACGGATAAGTACAAAAAATGGAACTAGGGATGCACAACTAAGACAGAATAGAGACTTGCAACAAAAGTCAAAGATAATAATAAAGTTTCTTTCAACATATAAATAACAAGAAAAAGGTCAAGGAAACAATCAGTCCACTAAAGAAAGAAGATGGCAAGGAAGTAACAGGCAGGAGAGGGAAAGCAGAACTGCTTAACTCATTCTTTGCATCAGTCTTCACACAAAAACAAACAATAGCCTTGTGATGGTGAACCTATGGCATGCGTTCAACATCTATATGAAGCCGCTGGGGGAGATCATCCGTGGTTTGAGGGTGAGGTATCATCGGTACACTGATGATACCCAACTTTTTATATCCACCCCGAACCAGCCCAGTGATGCCCTCGACGTGATGTCCCAGTGCCTGGAAGTGGTGCGGCTCTGGATGCGGAGGAACAGGCTTCAGCTCAACCCCACCAAGACGGAGTGGCTGTGGGTACCGGCATCTTGGCTCCAAGGGAATATTCCAATATTCCATATTGGTCATAGAGGAGTTGCCCCCTGTTGAAAGGGCGCACAATTTAGGCACCCTCCTGAATTCACGGTTGACTTTGGAAGATCATGTTGTGACCGTGACCAGGGGGGCATTTGCACAGATTCGTCTGGTGTGCCAATTGCGCCCCTACCTGGACCGTGATGACCTCCGTACAGTCACTCATGCGCTCGTGACCTCCCGGATCGACTACTGCAATGCTCTCTACATAGGGCTGCCCATGAAGACCACTCGGAGGCTTCAGCTGGTGCAGAATGTGGCCACGTGGGTAGTGATGGGAGTATCCCAACACTCTCATGTTACACCCCTCCTGTGTGACCTGCATTGGCTACCGGTTGCCCTCCAGGTGAGATTCAAGGTGCTGGTTATCACCTATAAAGCCCTACATGGCCTAAGCCCGGGGTACCTGACAGACCATCTGCGGCTAGCGACAGCTCCCCATTGCCCGGTGCGTTCCCACAGGAAGGGCCTCCTTGGAGTGCCGTCGGCCAGGCAGTGTCGTCTGGCGACTCCTAGGGAACGGGCTTTCTCTGTGGGTGCACCTACCTTATGGAATCAACTCCCCGTGGAGCTCCGGTGGCCCCTGACCTGTGCTCTTTCCGCCATGACCCTAAGACATAGTTATTTCGCCAGGCCGGACTGGACTGAAGAGGTTTTTAAGGGGAGTTTTATTGGTTTTTTTTTTTTTTATTGAAAAGTTTTATGAAAAACACAAACATTTTCACCCCCCCACCCTTCCCCCCTCAACCCCCCCTCCCCTTCCCACCCACCCCTTCCCCTCCCTCCCCCCACCCCCCTCCCTAGACTTCCCAGAATGAGCACAGGGTATATAGCATTCACAAACCAAGAACTAAAATGTGCTAACAAATTATTACATTTCATATTCTCCCTAGGTCCTTAACTCCTTATAACTCAAAAGAAAACAAACATAAACTACTTAATATTATTTCATTCATAAGCTATATGAATCTTCTTATTCGGATACTTCTTCTGTATGTAATCAATCCATTTTCTCCATTCCGATATATATCTCTCATTTGAATGGTCTTTAAGGTATGATGAAATTTTTGCCATTTCCGCCAAATGCACAACTTTTAATGTCCATTCCTCAATAGTAGGTGGATCTTCCTTCTTCCAGTACTGTGCCACCAGTAATCTGGCAGCTGTTATTAAGTTCAAAACCAGCTTAGTCTCTATTACAGTACAATCCGTACAGGGCCGGATTTAGATGAAAAGAGGCCCTAGGCTATTCCACTTATGAGGACCTTTCACCTATAGTGAAAGTGTAATTTTAATTTTGCTTACAATTTGAATGTAGGCCCCTCTTGATCTTGAGGCCCTAGGCTGAAGCCTAGTTAGCCTATAGGAAAATCCGGCCCTGAATCCGTAACTATTCCCAACAGAAAAAACTGTGGTGTAAATTTAATTTTTTTCTTCAAAATATTTTGAATAATCCACCATATTTTTATCCAAAAAGCCTTAATCTTTTTACATGTCCACCATATATGAAAATATGTAGCATCTTCACACTCACATCGCCAACACTTGGGTTGTAAATTTGGATACATACAAGCTAGTTTTTTTGGGTCTAAATGCCATCTATAAAACATTTTGTAAAAATTCTCCCTTAAATTTTGTGCTTGTGTAAATCTTACATTTCTAACCCATATCTTTTCCCATGTTTCCATCATTATTGGTTCACCTACATTTTGTGCCCATTTTATCATACAACCCTTGACTAAGTCTGTTTCTGAATCTATTTCCAATAATGCATTGTACAACCTTTTTATGTGCATTTGACCTTCATCTCTTATTTGCTTTATCAAATTCTCATCCTGCTGCAAAATACCAATTTTTTGATCTTCTCTCCATCTAGCCAGCAGCTGTCCATATTGAAACCAAGTCTTAATAGTCCCTTCTTCTTTTAATTGTTCCATGGATTTTAACTGTAGTCTGACTCCTTCCTTATAAAGGAGTTCCTTATATGTAATCTTATCTTGCTTTTGCTCTAAATTTATGTTCTCTATCGCGTGTCTGGGTACTGTCCATATTGGTAACCTAGTTTTATTGGTTTTTAACATTCAATAGCTGAAGGATTGTAGCCAAAATAAAATTCTTTCCTCTGAGAACCAAGGACTTTCCCACCAGGTGCAAGGAGGTGGGCTCTGAGACCAATTGACCCTTGGACTGTGACCTGATTGGACCACGTGATGCATTGCATGGGAAGGGGAAAGAAAACTTTCCTTTTAACTGGGGGAAAAACCTGAGGGGGGGGGTTAGAGTTGGGTTTCCCCAGACGTGCCCATTTGACACGCCTAATAAATCTGTACTTTGAGGAATATGCCTGTCTTAGAGTTTTGATTCCGTTGATTGTGTTAACTGGAACCCTGACACTAACCCGACTCTCCAAATAAAAAACAACCAAGAAGCTTCCTGCATTTGCAGGGTTGATGTCCAGGGTCCGGAGCCCTGGCCGCTTACCTGGGAGACCAGGCAGCGGAAGTCTCTGGGAAAATGGAGAAGAAGATGGAAGAGAAATCCCCTGACACCAGTGGAGCCACGGGAACTGGGGGAGCCTGCGGGGACAGCTCTGGGAGCCTCGATTTCCCCTCGGTGGCTGAGATGGTGGAGGAAGCAGCAGCAGAGATTGAATGCCAACTGGGTGCCCAGCCCAAGGAGCATGTACCCTGGCCGTCGGCTCAGGAACTCCACCAGTGGTGAGATGGCTCAGGAGGCAGCACTGGGGTCCAAGCACCCCAAGAGCCAATGAACTGGCCAGGAATTATATCAGGCTGAGGACCTGAAGACCTAGCCAGCTGCCCAGTTTTCTAGGAACCACAGATTGCTTCAGCTCCGGCGGAGCGCACCACAGTCTTTGAGTGGACAGCAACGAGGCCTTTGGACCTCAGTGAGTCCAGAGAATGGGGAATCCAGCCTCTGTCAAGAAGTCAGTCCCTGGCAGGCCTGCCAAAGAGGTTTGATCAACTGAGCATTGGCAGCCTGGGTCAGCTACCCCAAAGTGGTCAACCTGGCATGGTCCTGGCCCAACCAATATTCACCTTCCCCAGCCATGGGAATGTGGCCACCCAGAGTGGGATTTCCTCCTCATTTCACCCGGCGCAAAGTGGATCATGCCTAAGCCTCCCTTGCCAAACCTGGTCTACCGGTCTGACAGCCCAACCCGTGACAGCTGCCAGCCAGTTGCTAGGGCCCCTAGGCCAGTCCAGCCCGGGACTGTAGCAAGGGGCCATGGGGCTATCGAAGCCAGGCAGTCCGCCTCACCAGCCACCCCTCAGGCTGCCCCCTGTGGACCAAATCTCTCCTGGCTGGGCATACTACCCCGGTCAGGGTTGGATTCAATGCCAGTGGGTGCCAGCACCTGCTCCCCCAGCCAGTACCAGCACCACCGCTGCCAGTGCTGCGTCCGGATGGTGGTGGCCATGGACCTCGAGATTCACCTGCACTGGAGAGACACGGCAGACAACTAGCCTAAACGAGCCCTGGGCTGCCAAACCAATGTGAGACAACCTGAAGAACCAAAACTGACCTCAACTGCGGTCATTAAATGCTTGAGGTGTGGCCAACCTTTTTTTTTTAAAACTTTTTAAAAGCATTTTTTTGCTACCTATTTGCTCGAACTGGTAGTAAAAAAAATGCTTTAAAAAAGTTTTTAAAAGGTTCCGACGATCGCGCGACACAGCTGTGATCGTCGGAAGCTTTTTTTTTTTCTTTTTTAAAGCATTATTTTTACTACTGGTTCAGGTGAATAGGTAGTAAAAAATGCTTTAAAAAGTTTTAAAAAAAAAGTTGGCCACACTCACCCAGTCACATGACACCCCCCACCAAGCCACGCCCACCAAGCCACGCCCACAGAACCGGTAGCAAAAAATTTTTTTGCATTTCACCACTGCACAATACAGTCCGTGCCGGGAGCCAAGCTGCCCAAGCCAAAGATGTATTCCATGACCCCCAGGGAAATGCACGAGCTGAGAAAGTACATCGATGCCAACCTGGCAAGGAGGTTTATTCAGCTTGCCAAATCTAGGGTGGCCGCCCTGGTGAGTGGGGGGGGGTTAGAATCAGGTTTCCCCAGATGTGCCAATATGACATGCCCAATAAATCTGTACTTAGAGGAATATGCCTGCCTTGGAGTTTTGATTCCTTTGGGTGTGTTAACTGGAACCCTGACAGTAAGCAGTGGTTCCATCTTAGGCCCAGTACTCTTCAGTACCTTCGTAAGTGACTTAGATGAGGGAATAGAAGGAGAACTCATCAGATTTGATGATGACAGGAACAGCCAACGCCCCAGAAGACAAGCTCAGGATCCAAAAAGATCTTGACGGACTCGAGCAATGAGTCTTATCGAACAAAACGAAATTTAATGTGGAGAAAATCAAGGTTTTACACCAGGGCAGAAAAAAACCAAAGATACAAATTACAAAATACAAAGATACAGATTAGGCGAGACCTGGCCTCACTGTGAGAGGGACCTTAGAGTCCTAATGGACAATCACTTAGACATGAGTCAGACGTCTGGGGCAGCAGCCAAAAAAGCTAATACAATCCTGGGTTGTATAAACAGAGGCATAGAATCAAAATCATGTGAAGTATTGGTACTACTTTATAAAGCCTTAGTAAGATCGCACCTGGAATACTGCATCCAGTTTTGGTCACCACATTACAAAAAAGATGTTCAGATTTTGGAAAAGGTGCAAAGAGCAACTAAGATGATTCAAGGCCTGGAGTCTAAAACATATGAAGAGCGCTTGCAGGATTTGGGTTTGCCCAGTCTAGAAAAAAGAAGGATTAGGGGGGACATGATAGCAGTACTCCACTATTTGATGGGCTGCTGCAGAGGAGTTAATTTATTTTCCAAAGCACCAGAGGTTAGGACAAGTTACAATCGATGGAAACTAATCAAGGAGAGAAGCAACCTGGAATTAAGGAGAAACTTCCTATTGTGAGGACGATTAACTACCGTATTTTTCAGAATATAAGACGCTCCGGACTATAAGACGCACCTACCTTTTTTGGTGAGGAAAACAAGAAATCTGCCTCTGCCTCCCAGCAATTTTGCCTCATTGCAGCAAACAGCAAATAGCCTGCTTTACTTTCATTTTCAACATAGCTTGATTAGCGCAAGAAAAAAAAAATCTGCTCCCAACAATATACCTCCTTTCAGTAAGCAGCAGAGGCCTGCGCAAAACATTTGAGAGTTGGGAGGCCGATCCAATGAACTTGTGCTAATTAGGCTGTGCTGAAGCTGAAAGGAGCTGTTTCTTCTTGCTGCTTGCTGCAAGGAGGTAAACTGCTGGGAGGCAGAGGCCAAAGGGTGGGGGCCAGTGGGGGGGGCTGCATTCAGTGTATAAGGCGCACCTAAATTTTCACCCCCTTTTGGGGGGGGAAAGGTGCATCTTATACTCCGAAAAATACGGTAATGGAACAGCTTGCCGTCAGAAGTTGTGGGTGCTCCAACATTGGAGGTTTTTAAGAAGAAACTGGACAGTCACTTGTCTGAAATGGCATAGGATCTCCTGCTTGAGCAGAGGGTTGCAGTAGAAGACCTCCAAGGTCCCTTCCAGCTCTATTCTGATTCTGATTCAAATTTCCCCAGCAGGAACTAAATAGAATGAAAACAGGAAAAACAGGTTTTTTTTTCATTCTTTTTTATTTGCTAAATAAGACAGTGTCTTTCATCTCCGAAAAGGCAGGATGGAAAAGGTATTTGGAAGCTGAGGTCAAAGTCCGGAGTTCTTTCATGCCCCCACAGTGGCTGACTGGGGCAACTGTTTTTAAGAGGCAGCTTCACCGATTGGCATTTTTTTTCTCACTGAGTTCATCAAATAACAATTTTGTGCAACGTTCAGCAAAGAATTAGTTTATCCATTTGTCCTCAGGTTTCTTCTTGCAAATGCCTCTTGCCAGAAGCGAACAAGGTACAGTATACCAACAATGCAATTTTGTATTACATGCATTCGCCAGTCTTGCACATTTATTACTGCGAGAGTTCCTTGGTTCTCCCTCCTTCCAGTATCTGAAAAGAAGAAACAACAGTCGTCAGTCCTCCAGACAAAATGAGCATCATTTATAGACTTTGGAGCAGGAAGTAAAAGTTCAGTCCATTCACCTTCTTCCCTCCCCTCAGTGGGAGTTTCTAACAACTGCAAGTGTTGGTCTGTGGTTGATTTGGCAGAGACATAGAGATGGAGTTGGGGACACATCTCCCCCTCCATCCTTTTGAGCAGGCCATGGCAAAAGGTGATGTATCTCTAGGCATCTGTTTCTTAAAAATGGACCGTGGCCCCCTTCTTGGTTGCTTCAGGAATTGAGGAGTGTTTCTATTGCCGTCCTTGCTGGTGGTTTCAGTTGGGGGTGGTAGGGGGAGGGGAGGTCCGGCTGATGGGTACTCATTTGTGGGGCACCAGAGAGTTTGGTCTTTTCCTCATTATGATCTCCCTGCAAGACAGCATTGGGGAAGGTCCTCCATCAGTTCAGGGCTCAGTGTCATCCCAATGTCCGATGGAATATGCACCTGCAGAACCCGGGGGGTGGGGGGTGGGGTAGATTTGGCTCTACAGTGTTTTCCCAGGAAGAGGCCTGTAATAAGAGGCTGTGCAATCCTGGATGAAGAAGAGGGAACGAGGTTCAGGGTAGCCACATCTTAGAATCTAGTAGGTTAGAAGGTTAGAAGCTTCTGCCAACCTAGCAGTTCGAAAGCAGGTAAAAAATGCAAGTAGAAAAATAGGGACCCCCTTTGGTGGGAAAGTAACAGCATTCCATGCGCCTTTGGCGTTGAGTCATGCCAGCCACATGACCACAGAGATGTCTTCGGACAGCACTGGCTCTTCGGCTTTGAAACGGAGATGAGCACCACCCCCTGGAGTCAGGAACGACCAGCACATATGCGTGAGGGGAACCTTTACCTTTTAGGTTAGAAGGTTATAGCTTTAGCTTGGCAAGACTCTGTCCATTGGGTGCAAACAGAGTTGAATAAAGAGTTGAACTCCATTCGGTGTGTCATCTCTAGATCCAACACAATGCTAAAGGTTAGCACACTTAACATCTCCATCCCAAGCCAAGGGGATCACCCTGTGGAAGCCTCATGCCTGGAGACTGTTAGGATCCTGATGGGATAAATATATGGAGGGTGAAGCCAAGCAAGATGGCTTCCTTCATTTGAGATGGCCAACCAGGTCTGGAGATGTCTTCTTCTTTTTTTTTTCCCCTTCATTTTTTAAATTTTATATTACATACATACATCTATACATATCAATGCATGAACAGTGTGACACCTGGGTGCCATACATTTCAGTATAGATAAAATTATATTATTAATCATCAGATTCATCCAGTTTATATATTTCTAGCAGTAATACACATTTATATCAAATTATAATCTTTCATTATTTCATATTGTTTAAACATACATAATACTACCGCCCTCTTATCATTGCACTTATCTTATTTTATAAAAATGTATATGTTAACATTCCCCCTTTCTCTTATTTCTGACTCTATTGTAACTTTTATTCATGTCACCATTATATTAAAAGACGTTCCCTTTGTATTACAATACTATCCTTCATTATTTCATTGTTCAATAATATTTAAATATACAATTCTAATACCAATCACAATATTATTTAAACATACAAATTAATTCTATTAATATTCTTTGTATTCATCCAATCTATATGATTCTACTATTAATACACCTATTTATAATAAAATATGTTCTTTCATCATTTTATTACTCATTATTTCACTTTATTATTCCACTACAAATCATATTACCATTATTCAATCTCTAATTTCCCCCTTTTTAATACTTAGTTCTTACTCATATTTCCCATATTTCACTCTTTAACTCTATTTATATTAAAATACTATCCTTCATTGTTTCATTATTCAATGTTTCAATATACTACTCTAATGCCAATCACGATATTAAACATACAAAATTATTCATATTCTTTGCTTTCATCCAATCTATATGGTTCTAGTATTAATACACATTTTTATATTAAAAGTTTTTCCCTTATCTAATTGCTCAGCGTTTACCAATCACAACATTATTTAACCGTACTTAATAATGCCATCATTCAATCTCTAATTTTCCCATTTTATTATTACTTGTGAAGGTGTATGTACAATCCCTCAATCTCTTATTGAACACATTCTTATCTCTGTTCTAATTTCTCCTCCTGCCACCATTATAAAAAAAAGGGGGGGATTTTCTTTCTTCTTTTTCCTATCAGCCTTCTATCCATCATCTCTTGCCCGCATCAATGCTTTAATTCTTATTCTTTTTTAAATTTGCCTCCCATATTCTTCTCTTAAATCTTTATTTCTGTCTGTATTTGTGTCTACATCCTGTCTAGTCAATCTAAGTGTTTCTCCCATCCCTACCCTCTTCCACTGTCTAGCTTTGAAATTATCAGCCTGGACCCCTGTCTCCCTTCCCCAAGTATCTCTTGGGGAAGTTTCAGAACTCTTAGAATGTTTTCCCCCTGGTTTGATTCATCAAACGTTATTAATTTTATTGGTGACTCCTTGTTATCTTCTTTTTGTTGATTCCTCAATTCTGTTTTTCCCTCTATTCCTTCTGGTAGCTCCTTCCTTTCTTGGGCATCTTGGTCATTGCTCATTGTCCTTTGTATAATATTTTCCCATTTTTGATCTATGCCATCCGTTAATTCCATAATCGCCTTATATTCTTTCTGTATCTTATCCTTTATGCCAGTGGTGAAATGTAAAATTTGTTACTACCAGTTCTGTGGGCGTGGCTTAGTGAGGGGGGGGGTAATATGACTGAGTGGGCGTGGCCAACTTTTTTAAAAAAAACTTTTAAAACCATTTTTTCTACAACCTCTTCGGCCAAAGAGGTTGTTAAAAATGCTTTTAAAAGCCTCTGATGATCCCAGCTGACTTGCTTGATCGGCAGAGGCTTTTTTTTTTTTTAAGAAAAAGCCTCTGACGATCCCAGCTGACTTGCCTGATTGGCAGAGACTTTTCTTTTTTTTAAAAAGCTTCTGATGATCCCAGCTGACTTGCCTGACTGGCAGAGGCTTTTTTTTTACTTTTAAAAGCATTTTTTCGGCCAAAGAGGTTGTAGAAAAAATGCTTTTAAAAATAAAATAAAAAGCTTCTGATGATTGCGTAGCTCAGCTGGGCATGGGGGTGGGGAGGGATTTTTGCTATCAGTTCTCCGAACCACCTGCCGCCATCGCTACCAGATCGGGCGATCCAGTCCGAACTGGGAGCATTTCACCCCTGATTTATGCTTTGAAACATCCAGTTCAAACATTCAAATTTCCGCTCGTTTCCTCCTTATGTTGCATCTTATCTTGTTTTAATAAATTCCATTTTTAGCCAATAGCCCAAGAACCATTTGTTCACACCTGAGGTTACTCTTCAAAGTATACACTAATAACAGTTCTTTATGTTCCATAAGTAGTCAAATCAGTTCCATTTACATAGTCCAGGGAATTATTCAAGCCTCTTTAAATCACCTTATAGATTTAGTTATATAACAACATTCAGGGGTCACTTTAAATGACTTCCTTGTTCTCACATTTAAATCTCCAGTGGTCATGGGGTAGATGTATATAGTCCAGAAAATATTTTCACAGTCCTTTAAATGGGTATTTGCAGGCTTGTATATTTTCCTTTCATCAGCAGGTGGAACTCTCAGGTTAATTTTCAATATTGTTACTAGAAATCTGGTTTTAATTATTTTAAATTGTAATTCAATTATAGAAGCAGTGTTAATTTTTTAAATCTGTAATTCCAGCATTTTAAATTGCCTTCCCAATGTCATGTCTTCCCAATTTGAGAGTCCAATTTCCTGCATTTTAAAATATTTTTTTCTCTCTCTTTAATCCTTTCCTTACAGTTTGGTAGTTTGCTCAAAATATTTGATTGTCGCTTTAACAGATAGTTCTGAGTAAATCCCAGATTTCTCTTTTGGGGTGAACTTTTGGGTAAAAAAAATCCTCTCACTCAGTTCCACACTGTTCACCAAAGTCCGCTCCAGCTCAAAAGCTTAGATGGTTGTCGAATATCCCAGCTTTGTGGCAGCCATCTTAGGCTCTCTCTTCTCCTCGTCATGGCTGAGAGGGAAAGTAAGTCCCGGGTTAGGCAGGAGAGCTGTGACTCTCTGAGGCCTCACAGGGCATCCCTCTTTGCTTCGCCACCCCTCCAAGGCAGCTTTGGTTCCTTTAGGAGCCCACCAATGGGGAGAACTTGGCAGGGAAACATGGAGACCTGCTCTCTGTGTCTGATCTCACCGTAACGTCGGCCAGAAGTCCCCCAGGTCCAGGGCTGTCTTTTGAGTGGGAGATAAAGCTACCTAGCGAGCTGGTCCATCCCTTGGGTGCTCCTGGACTTGTGGGTATTGCTGGATGGGGTGCACACTACTTATGGAGGACAAACACTTGGGAACAGAAACCTAGGGCAACACCATAACATATCACAAATATGTTCTATGCAGAGATGCCTTGGGAAAACCCTTGAAAGCGACAATGGGTACAAACTATAGAGGTCTATTCCAAGTAGGTGTTAATAGTCATAAACATTTTATGTTATTACAGATTAATAGAGTTGGAATGGACCTTGTAAGTCATCTAGTCCCACCCCCCCCCCAAAGCAGGAGACCCTACACCATTTCTGACAGATGGCAGTCCAGTCCCTTCTTGAAAACCTCCAGTGATGATGTTATGACCCCACATAGTTAATATTAAATGCAAAACAGTTCTAAAAACAAACAGATTTTATTAAAACAGCTGAGAATTAACTCATTCTCAGTTTATTCCAAATTAAATGAAAGCAAAGTTCTCAAAACACCATTCTTCACTTCATCTCTGACCTTGGGATAATTAGGCAAACTGCCAAAGCTTTTCTTGGCAACAGTTCAGGAACAGAAAATGCTGACAAGAAAGAAATACATCCAAACACAAAACAAATCTCTCAAAGGTTTTTTCCAGCATAGAGGCCAAGCACCGTTGCTGATCTTTTAAGCCTTATGGGGCCAATCATCTCTTGGCCTTACTCCTGAGTCGTCCTCTCTGCTTTAGCTGCTCTTGTCTTCCGGCAGCTCTTCTCATACATGCACTAGGAACAGGCTTCTCCTGTTCCTCTGCTTCTCTACTGTCAGCCTCTGGAGGCTCCGAAGTCCATGCATCACTCCCAGATGGCCCTGGCCCATCTCTGCCTCCGATGCAGAGCCCTCATCCGGGCCTTCCCCAGCCTCCAGAACTGGCCCATGTTCTTCCTCAGCCTCATCATTGTCCAACTCTGCTGCCAGCTCCGCAGGCTGCGGGCGGACCACAACAGATGAAGCTCCCACAACTTCCGGAGGCAACTTCTGTTCCATTGGTTGATTGTTCTCACTGTCAGAAAATTTCCCCCTATTTCTAGGTTGAATCTTTCCTTGTTCAGTTTCCATCCATTATTCCTTGTCTGGCCTTCAGGTGCCTTGGAAAATAGATTGGCCCCTTCCTCTCTGTTAGCTCCTAAGATGATGCACTGGATGCCAAAATGCTTCTGAATGTAATTCGAAGTATTGATTTAAATTGCACTAGACTGAGTAGCAGAGCAGGAGGAGGCACTGAGCATATTTCCAAAGGAAAGATCCATTTTAGGGCAAGCAATCAAGAGAAAGCAACAATTATATGCTACAGGAGCACAGAGAAGGGAAGGATCTGGAACGCAATGTCTGAATTTCTAGCCTTGCCTAATTACTGGGGTTGATATCCCCTCCTGCCCTCTCCACTCCTCGGCTTCTTCAGCCTCCTCCCAAGGTCAGCCTGGGTTGTTAAGTGGTCACTAAGTGAAACTGCAACTGTGCTTATCACCTTATTTCAGTTTTCTTTTGCTTTACAGACCAGGGAAGGTAAAGAGCTCTGAGGACTGGTCACTTTGTCGTTATCATTGGAAATGTGAATGGTTCCTCTGGTGTCGTTCCTGGGATCTGTGGGAGCCACTCTCCCAGCTTGGGAGTCCCATCCCTGATTGTTCCTGCTTTGGCCTTGACTTTCCACATCCTACCAAGTTCCTCCTGTCTGTCTGTCTGTCTGTCTGTCTGTCTGTCTGTCTGTCTGTCTATCTATCTATCTATCTATCTATCTATCTATCTATCTATCTTCTATCTATCTATCTAATCTGAGAGATTCTATACCCCAATCCATTTGCAGCAATTTGTAACGATCCCCACATAATGACACAAGTGTGGTAGGGGTGGGTTCTACTTACCATTACTACCGGTTTGCAGCGGGGCCGTGCGCATGAGCGAAGCACACACACACACACACTATTTTGTGCAAGTGCAGGAGCTTCTGTGCATGCGCAGAAGTGTTTTGATGACGTTGGGGTCAGTGGGCAGAGCCTCCCGTCGGTTTTACTACTGGTTCCATAGAATCGGTGCAAACTGGGGCAACCCACCACTGAAGTGTGGTGACATCATACAAATACCATTATTACCGTATATTCTTGTGCCACCTCTCTCAGATCTGAAGATATTTCAGACTAAAAGAAACAAACTTGAATTAGACACTTACGTGTTTAAAGCTTTACCATCAGTATGATGCCATGTCCATTCCTTGTTATTGTAAACCAATCCAATGTAGTAACTACCATGTTTGTGTCGAATTGCTTCTTCTAAGAATGCCTGAAAGAAAAAGTCCAGACATCATTTACAGTGAATGACGGAGAGATTCTCACCTGAAGGACGTTCAGAATCAGAGCCTCCCCAGATGAATCAGTGGAGGAATATGGAGAAGCCGTAGCAATGCAACCCATACGGTACAACCACAAAGAGTGGGGCAGATCAAGTTCCTGAAACAATGGGACATCCAGGAGGAACCAAGGAGGCATTTGGGTGAACTAGCAGGGCCCTGGAAGCCATGATCAAACCTAGTCTATGGGCCAGTCCACATTTGCACCTAACCATGGTGAGAGATGAACAGGGAGCCGCTTTGTTTCACTGTTTGCCGAGTCCTTATCTCAGCTCTTCCTAAACCCGTAAGTCTTCCCTCATCCCTTGTTCTGGCCTTAGTTTGTCCCCATAAACTCAGCAACCATCTTCAGTGCTTCCACGATGAACACAATCTGATGCAAACTCAGGTCACTCCCACAATGGAGGACAAAGTCTCTCGGCCACCTCAGGTTGGTGAGGAGGACATATCTGCTCACCTTCTTTCCTTCTTCTGAGCAGATGCTCACTGTTTTGGGGGCTTCCAGGAGCCCTGCAAGACTATTGGCTAGCAGAAATGGCCATCTCTCTCAACACTGGCAGCTGTTCCCACCTCCGCAACCACTGTACGGTAGCTGTGGTTGCAGCTGTCTTCTTTCAAGACTCAGCACAACTCCGGGCTTTCCAAAGAGCTGCACTTGGGGGAAAAACCCTACCTTCTCCCTCAAAGCTGGTCCTTCACCCAGCCCAACAGATTACTGTGAGCTACCAGGATTCGGGGAGAGCCAGGCTCTGCCACACCATTCCACAGTTGTGCCCAAAAGCTCCATGGCAGGTTGAAGGGAGCTGCCAAGCTTTGAGAGGGCAGGTGAAGCTTGGAAAGATCCTGAACCCCACGCTGAAAACGAACTCTCTGCAGCTATGTTGAGCACCCAGGTAGAGCGGCTGAGTTTTGGCACCCACGGGTGCTTTCCTGCTTTAATCCCCACCGTCAAACTGTGGGTTCAAGCCTGCCACCCCCCACCCCACCCAAGCCCCATCTGAGCCCCCTCCTGCACCCCTGGCCTGAACGCATGAGGACAGCTTTCAACCAGATGTCTTGCTATCCAGGGATTATCCAGAGACGGTTGATGCAGGAGAGGGATCAGCAATGGGCACAGCCAGTTTTAGGCTGGTGTCCTTTTCTGCCAGATCCAGGCCAGGCTGACAGTGGGGACAGACCATAAGACGAAGGATACAACAACCAAACTCAGTCAACGACCACGTCATTCCATCAGAAAAGGGAGAAGGGAAGGCGCTTACCTCCTCGTCGTTATCTTGAATATCAGCTACGTAAGCTTTAGATTGTTTGCATAGTTTTATTGTGTTGTGAAGAGATACTGAGTCAAAACTAAATAAATAAAGGTGGCCCCTATAGGACATCCATCTATGATTCAGTTTGTAATGAATATCAGCTTTGAGACAAATTAGGATGGGGCCGTGAAAAGGGAAAGAAGAAAGAAAAATTAGAAGGAGCAGTTAGGCAAATACTTTTATCCATTAAAAAAAAACACATTTTAAGAAAAAATAGCAAAGAACTCTGGGGACCTTGCTGCTCTCTGAGCTGAGCTGCTTTCCTGAGGACATTTATTTACCCAACTAGGTAACATCATCAGCACTAGAAGGGAGGGGGGTTTGCTCTCACCCCACTGAAATCGGCCCAATCCCAATCGTGCTGACAGAGGAGACATGCTGAGGGTCCCATCAGCCCAATTATTCCGGGTGGGGTCCAGGAGGAGAACCTTCTCTGCTGTGGCTCCTGACTCTGGAACAGCTCCTCCCCCCCGATCTGAGGTTGAGCCCCAACCCTCCTATCTTTTTGTAAGGGCCTAAAGACCTGACTCTGATAGTTGGCTTTGTGCCCCAACGGGGGAACATCACAATGGAGGTGGTTGATTGAGTAACAAGATCCTACCTTCCCCCCCTCCGCCCCCCCTCCTCATGCGTCCTTAGATTTTAATGTTTGATTTTAATTGTTTATGTATTAACAGAATAGCAGAGTTGGAAGGGAGCTTGGAGGTCTTCCAGCCCAATCTGTTGCTCAAGCAAGAGACCCTATCCCATGTCAGACAAAGGGTTGTCCGGTTCCTTAATTGTATATGTATAGATGTAGTTTTATGACTGTAAGCCGTATGATAAGATATGCAGCCCATACATTTTATAAATAAATCGATATTCGAATTAAAACCAAAAATGATAAAACAATGAGAAACGCGATAGAAATAAGTGGCTGGAAAGTGCATACTCAGGATTTGCATGAGTAAAACAGCAATACGTGAAACAGTAGAACTGTTAACTGGTAGTATCCAGAAAACATGAACGGAAGGGAAGACCCTGGAACACACCCTGAATGTGGACAGTATAAAGAATTGGCCCAATATCCAGTTGGCTTGCTTCTAAAGGGCTGAGCAAAGCAAACCAAACCAAACGGATACCCCGTTGGCATCTCAGCCTGGCAAATGGAAGAATGAGACTTCCGATCCCTATGAAAAGGGAGCTATCAAGAGAGCAGGGAGAAATCGCTTGCTTTAGAGAACACCATTTGACTTAATGAATTTGAATTGCAAAAGGTTCTGAGTGACAAGGAAGCGGAATCCTTGGTGCTCCCTGACTGCTTGTTTGACTGCAGATCTTTCACCGCCCAACTAGGTGCACCCTGAGCATCTCCAGTGCACAGTGCATCCGGGATAAGCAGGGATTAACACCAGACAAATAACCAAGCAGGAAACAATAGCCTAAGCCACACCCCACATCAATGACAGGGCAGGCTACTGCACATAAACGGGGAGCAAACCCCACTAGCACTAAAGATGTTACCTAGCCAGGTAACGAAACCTGTGCAAGAAAGTAAGTTCAGAGAGCCCCAAGGACTCTACAGCTCTGAACCACAGAGACTGTCTTCTGTTGAGATGATTAGAGTCTGAGCCTCGGTGACATTTTCTAAAGATTGCCAGTTTCATAGCTAGACCATGAGTGTGGGCTCCCTCCATCCAGGAGAATGCTAGGGTGGAATAGGGCTCTAGTTTTTGCTCATTGCCCAAGTCAATGTTTCAGGGAGCCCAAGAAAGCAACATCTGTGTCAGGACTGCCATCCTGCTCAGCCAGGCGTTTCCTGCTATCAGACAGCCATACTCAACTGAGGGGGCAGGTGGGGGAGATCAGCGGAGTGCAATAAAGGGAGGGGTTAGCACGAGCAAACAAAACTATGCATCGTACCGTCCTGTGAGAACCGCTGGCCACTCCAAGGTCACACAAAGGAATGCAGAACCATCCCGCCCGCAAAGACAGGGACTTTTACCCAAACTATTTGTTAGCACCGAATTGGATACTTGTTGGTAACCAGGGGTGGGGATGGATGGGAACAAGGGAACCATATGCCTTGGGCCAGAAAACCCCGGATCCAGCTCTGCTTCGGCTGTCACCACTTGGCTTCAGTAAAGTGAACTTTTGGCTAATCATGAGCCTGAGAGTCTTTCTTTTCTAACTGACCAAGTTGGGATAGCTGACAATCTGCCCAAGACAATACTTAAAAAACAGCAGGTGCACCGCCCCAACCGGCAGGACTGATGGATGGTGCCTAGAAAATTGCCAAAAAACCCCACCAAACCCTGACACCAAACCTGGAGAAAGCTATCCCTCTATCCGGATTCTTATTAATCTCAATCTATGAGAAATTTACCAATCTCTGCTTGAATTTCTTTGATCTTTTCAGCCCATGGAAGCAACTCTCTTGACATCTTCTCAGCTTCCAGGATTATTGCAGTATCTGAAACACATGTAGCAAGAACATTTCTTCAAGTCTGAAGCTGCCTCCTGGTCTATGGAAAGCCCACTTCCTTCCATGCATGAAGGTATCTGTCGGTCTCTGCAGCTAGGAAGTGTTTTCCTTCCCTCTTCCCAGGATGGATCCCATTACGACTGTCCTACTGTCCCCATTTATATTTATTTATTTATTTATTTATTTATTTATTTATTCATTTATTCATTCATTTATTTATTTATTTATTTATTTATTTATCTATTTATTTATTTATCTATTTATTTAAATTTCTATACCGCCCTACTCCCAAAGGACTCAGGGCGGTGAACAGCCACAGAATAAAAAAAATGAATACAAAAATTTAAAATAGAATAAAAACAAATTAAATAATTTGGCTGAGAGAAATTTAAAATACCCAATAATTTAAAAACAAATTAAAATTTACATTTAAAAGGGAGAAGATTTAGGCCAGGCCAGCTTGATGAAATAAGAAAGTCGTGAGCGCGTGACGGAAGGTGCACAGATCCGGGATCCTCCGTATCTCCAGGGGGAGCTCGTTCCAGATTGTAGGTGCCCCCACAGAGAAGGCTCTCCCCCTGGGGGCCGCCAGTCGACATTGTTTGGCCGATGGCACCCGGAGGAGCTCCTCTCTATGGGAGCGTACTGGCCGGTGGGAGGCTATTGGTGGTAGCAGGCGGTCCCGTAGATAACCAGGTCCTAAGCCATGGAGCGCTTTAAAAGTGATAACCAGAACCTTGAAGTGCACCCGGAAGACCACCGGGAGCCAGTGCAGCTTGCGCAGGAGAGGTGTTACATGGGAACTCCACGTCGCTCCCATAACTACCTGCACGGCCGTACTCTGCACCAGTTGGAGCCTCCGAGTGCACCTCAAAGGGAGCCCCATGTAGAGAGTGTTACAATAGTCCAGACGAGAGGTGACGAGGGCATGAGTGACTGTGCGTAGGGAGTCCCGATCTAGAAAGGGATGCAACTGGCGGATCAGGCGAACCTGATGAAAAATCCTCCCGGTCACGGCCGTCAAGTGCTCTTCTAAAGACAGCTGTGAATCCAGGAGGACGCCCAAGTTGCGAGCCCTTTCCGTGGGGGCCAATGATTGCCCCCAATAGTCAGCGATGGCACCAGCTGACTATATCGGGACGTCAGAAACCACAGCCACTCGGTCTTGGATGGGTTGAGCCTGAGCCCGTTTCTCCCCATCCAGATCCGTACGGCCTCCAGGCACCGGGACATCACTTCAAGGGCATCATTGGGATGGCCTGGGGTGGAGATGTACAGCTGAGTATCATCAGCGTACTGATGGTACTTCACCTGAAACCACGGATGATTTCGCCCAGCGGCTTTACATAAATGTTGAACAAAGGGAGCGAGAGGACCGATCCCTGCGGCACCCCACATATGAGGGGCCTCGGGGTTGACCTCTGCCCCCTGTCAACACAGACTGCGACCGGTTGGAGAGAAAGGAGGAGAACCACCATAGTTCGGTGCCTCCCACCCCCAACTCTTCCACGCGGTGCAGCATGATACCATGATCAATGATATCAAAAGCCGCTGAGATATCTAACAGGACCAGGACAGAGGAGCAACCCCTGTCCCGAGCCCTCCAGAGATCATCAACCAACGCGACCAATGCCGTTTCCATGCTGTACCCAGGCCTGAAACCCGACTGGAACGGATCCAGATACGTCGTTTCATCCAGGTACTGGGGAAGCTGTCGTGCAACCACACTCTCAACAACCTTCGCCACGAAACGAAGGTTGGAGACTGGACGATAATTAGCCAATACTGCTGGGTCCAGGGAAGGCTTCTTGAGGAGAGGTCTCACCACCGCCTCCTTCAGGGTGGCGGGGAAGACACCTTCACCCAATGAAGCATTTATAATCCCCTGGAGCCAGCCTCGCGTCACCTCCCAGGAAGCCAGCACTAACCAGGAGGGACACGGGTCCAACAAACATGTGGTTCCATTCAATCTACCCAGAATCCTGTCCACGTTATCTGGGGTCACAGGATCAAACTCATCCCAGATAACATTCTCAAGACCTGCCTCTGTCACCCTCACTGGATCTACCCAGTCGGAGTCCAGACCTTCCCGAATCTGAGTGATTTTGTCATACAGATACTGAACAAAATCCTCGGCTCTTCCCTCCAAGGGGTCCTCCTGCACTTCCTGGTGAAGCAGGGAGCGGGTCATCCTAAACAGGGCGGCCGGGCAATTATCTGATGACGCAATAAGAGCAGCAAAATGAGTACATTTTGCTGCTTTTATAGCCACTAGGTAATTCTTAATATGAGATCTTACTAGTGTCCGGTCCGACACTGTACTCATTTCCTATGTTCATGTCCATGTTTATACTTATACCTGTTATCTTGTACATGTTTGACAAAATAAATAACTAAATAGAAATAAATAAAATAAACAAATAAACAAATAAACCATGGCCTTTCAGAACCATGACCTAAATTTTGTGCCTTGCGGACTGGCATCGGGTTGATGGAGGTTAGCAATGAATGAATGGATCTCCTCCCTGTTCACCCTTGGCTTGATTAGATTTTGTTTCCCGACCGTCAGTAGATTGCCAATCAATTTATTTACTGTCTGGAAGGAGCTGGGCTTTTTAATAGCTCCTGATTCTTCTGCAGAACCAGTGAGAAGAATTCAGGGCCTCTTCAGCTCACCTAAAGCAGATTAAGTAGCTCCTCAAGGCATTGTGACAAAGTCCACTTAGAGTTTCCCATGGGGAATTTTGATAGCTTCTTGCCCCCCACCCCCTGGTCTTTCCTAGTTTGTTCTTATATCATCCTGGGACTGAAAGTGTAGATAAGCAGCAGATGGATGCGAATGCTCCTTCCATTCCGATGTAACCCACCAATCTAGCTAGAGGAAGGAAAATGGGCTCGGTGGCCTTGGGGACAGGAATGCATTTGCACATTCAGATCATCACCATCGAGGAGATATAGAAGCACAGCCAGCTGCACAAACAGGCTGAAGAACAGTTTTTATCCAGGGGCTGTCAGAATCCTGAATCCTGAATGCAAAATAACATCATAAGTACGTAGTGCGATGGACTTGCAGAGCCGGCGCAACGTGTAACATGTTCACACTGGTGCAATGGGACTGGGTGGTTGTTAATACGATTTATTGGGGTTTTCTGTCTTCACTGTGAGTTGTATTGTGTTGGGGGGTGCACTGAGGGAGCTCAACTAATCTCATTGTACATATGTTGTGCACTGAAACTAAAGATTTGAATTTGAATTTGAATTTCAGAGTGGAACTTGTTAAGTTAGGTGAATAAGGATGCAGCAAGCCAGGCAGTGAGTGACAACAGCTCTTTATTGTAGGGTGAGAACCCAGCAACTGACCTAGGGAAACAGCTCCCTTTATATACCTTGCAGCTGTAGTGGTCAGCCAATCAGCTGAGGGTCAGTTAATTCAAACTTCCCACCAACAAACCTATTTACATAACACTCCTCCCCTCCCAGAAGTCACTTTGGGTTTTATTTACATACAAAGTCTCTCAGGTGACCAGGGCGTGTACATAGCCTGGTCACCCTGTGCAGTTCAGTTGGAGGGGCGGCGTCGAGTAGGTCGGAGGGACTCCCTATCTCTCCCTGCTCCGCCAATGGAACCTCCGAGATCTCTTCGTGGGCGGCGACTTCTCCGGTTGGTGGAAATCCTTGCTGGGGCAGCTCCAGACGCCAGGATCATCAGCTAAGTCCTCCCCTGCACTCGGACTTGACTTAGTTTTTTGTTCTGGCTGGTAGTCAGGGAGCGATTCGTTGAAGTTTTCCTCGGCGTCTGTTGCGATTCGCCTTCTCAGTTGATCTATGTGCCTGGGCCAAACTCTCCCGTCCCCTATGTCTACCCTGTACGATTTGGGCCCCGTGATTTCCGTGACTGTTCCTGCTTCCCAGAGTGGGCCCTTCCCATAGTTCCTGGTGTGGACTGGAGTCCCTATGGTGAACTCCCTGAGTTTCCTCTCCCCCCACCCCTTGAAAACCTCTGGGAAATAGTTGGGATTTAGCCTATCCAGTACCCCTCGGAGCTTCCTCCCCATTAATAACTCGGCCGAGCTTCGGCCTATGGTTGTACAAGGTGTGGAATGCTGGGCTGTGAGGAATCAATCTATTCTTTCCTGCCAGTCCCCGGGGCCTAGGCGTGAGAGGGCCTCCTTGGCCGTTCTTACAAATCTCTCAGCCTGACATTACTAGCCGGATGGAACGGGGCCGAGAGGACGTGTCTGGCCCCCAAATCCGCTAGATATCCCTCGAACTGTGTGGCCGTGAATTGGGGCCCATTGTCTGACACTAAGATGTCCGGTAACCCATGGGTAGTGAATAACTGCCTCAGTTCCCTAATAACCGCCTCGGTGGTAGTGGCCCTCATGAGCTTAATCTCTAGCCACTTGGAAAAGGCATCGACTATGACCATGAAGGTCTGTCCGTGAAACGGTCCCGCAAAATCTATGTGGATCCTGGACCAGCGCCCCTTGGGTCTTTCCCACTCCCTCACCGGTGCTGTCGGTGGATCTGGCCTAGACTCTTGGCAGGGCTGGTACCTCCCCACCCACTCAGTAATGTCTGCATCCATGTTGGGCCACCAGACGTAGCTCCTGGCTAGTCCCTTCATCCGTACAATCCCAGGGTGCCCCTCATGCAACAGTGTTAAGACTTTTTCCCTTAGGCACAAGGGAACAATAACCTGTTCGCCCCATAGCAAGCACCTCCCTTGCATTGTTAGTTCGTCCCGTTTGCTCGCATACTGTTTGAATTCCCCGCTCCCAGTCTTTTCTGGCCACCCCCTCGTCACCCAACTTGCAACCATCTGGATCACGTGGTCTTTGGTTGAGGCTCTAGCTACCTCTGCTGATGTGATGGGCCCCAAGTCCAAAACGTCTATCAGCAGAATGGGGATACCGGGTGTGGAGTCTTCCAGCTTGTCTGGTAGTGGGCAGTGCCTGAGTGCGTTGGCGTTTCCCATGTCGCCCCTGGTCGATGTACCAGGCAATATGAGTAGGCTGCGAGGAAGATGGCCCAGCGTGTCATCCTGGGTGATAGGGCTGCCAGTGTTGGTCGGTCTCCTGCGATGAGGCCCAGGGGCGGGTGATGGTCGGTGATTAGGTCGAAGTCCCTCCCGAACAGGTACTTGTGGAACTTCTTCATTCCTGAGACGGCGGCGAGGGCCTCCTTGTCAAGCTGACTGTAATTTCTCTCGGCGCTTGACAGTTCGGGAGTAGTAGACGATGGGTGCCTCTAGGCCATTCGGAAGTCTATGGCTCAGGACGGCTCCCACATTGAAAGGAGACGCATCACAGGCTAAAACCAGGGGAAGTGTTGAGTTGTATTGGATCAAGAAACTCTCGGCTGACAGCTATTTCTTGATGTTTGCAAATGCCCTGTCCTCGGCCTTCCCCCATTTCCATGTGGACTTTTTGGCTAACAGTCTGTGTAGGGGTTCAGCCACTGTTGCCTTGTCCCTTAAGAAGATTGCGTAAAAATTAAGCAGTCCCAGGAACGCCTGTAGTTCCGCCTTTTCTTTAGGGATGGGGGCCTCTTGGATTGCCTTGATTTTACTCTCGGTGGGGTGTATGCCGGTGCCATCTACTCTGTACCCCAGGAACTCCACTGAAGGGACCGCGATCATGCATTTGTTGCGTTTGACCCGGAGTCCAGCATTTCTAAATTTTTCTAAAACCATTCTCAGCCTCCCTCCCAGTTGTTGTTCATCTTCCGCCGTGATGAGTACATCATCGAAATAGGGGACCACCCCGGGGATCCCTTGCAGCAGTCTCTCCATTGTACTTTGGAAAAGTCCGGGGGCTATGCTAACTCCAAATTGCAGGCGCGTACATTTGAAGTTATGAGTTATGATAGTCTGTGCTTCCGTGGTAGCGCCATCTACCGGGGGCTGCTGGTACGCCTGCACAAGATCAAGTTTAGCGAAGATCTTGCCGGGGCCTAGGGAATGCAGCAGGTGATGTACAATGCGGACCGGGTAAGTGCTCTGTTGCAGAACCTTATTAATTGTACATTTATAATCGGCGCATATGTGCACTGATCCGTCCGGTTTCACGGTGTCACAATTGGGGTTTCCCATTTGGCGTGGTCAACTGGCGCAAGCACCCCTTGCTTGATTAGCTTGTCCAGCTCAACATCTATCTTGGGTTTCAGGGCGAATGGTACCCTCCTAGGCTTTAAGCGGATCGGGGCAACATTGGGGTTGAGGTTGAACAAGATAGGGGTCCCCACATACTTGCCAAGCCTTTCGTCGAATACGTCCTGGAACTCCTGCATCAGGTCGTCCCTCAGGGTGCTCTGGATGTTCTGCACTCTGGTGAATCCCATGCCCAAGGCTCGAAACCAGTCCATGCCCAGGAGGCTTGGGAGCTTGTCGCTGAAGATGGTGAGGGGGAGTCTCTCGCTGAACTCCCCATATCGTACTTGGAACTTCCCTTGATAATCTTTAAACCGGCGTCGCTGTGGTTGGAGCTGCGCACTGAAGACCCTGTTGTTCCGCCAGGCAGGGCTGTCAATATAATAATTTTAAATTGGGGTATTTTAATTTTTGGGGTTTTAAATCGGCCAAATCTATTTAATTATTTTAATTTTTAATTATTGTTGTGTCTTGTGTTTTTAAATTGGCTGTACACCGCCCTGAGTCCTTCGGGAGAAGGGCGGTATAGAAATAAAATTATTATTATTATTATTATTATTATTATTATTGTGTGCACTGGGGATGGCTTTCTTGAGGTTGGCCCATGACATGATGGATATGGGGGATCCCGTGTCGATCTCCATCTGGCACTCACATCCCTCGATCTCGACCGCAGTGTAGGTCTTCTCGCCGGGTGATGTGCAGGTCTGGCCGATGCGGATGGTATAGGCCTCTATGTCTTCAATTTTTGCGCCCTTCCGGCTTCCGCCATTTTTATTGGGCCTCCGGCGCAGCGCCATCTCGGATTGGCTGGTTTGGCCTCATGGTTTGTGGCCTTGTGCTTGCTTGGCTCTGCAGACTCGAGCAATGTGCCCCTTTTTCTCGCAGAACCGGCAGATTGCATCCCAGAACTTGCAGTTGTGTTGGGGGTGGGGGCCTCTGCAGCTGGCGCAGTCGTCCCTGTGTCCCCGTTGGTCCAGCCTGGACTGCTCTGTGCGGTAGACTTCCTCCTTGGACTCCCCTTCGCTCTCGGTGCTTACGGCTTCACGGTGCATGGTTGCCGACCTCTGCGCTGTCCAGCCATGGATGGTCCCTTGCAGTCTCTTGGCGGCCTTTACGGATGACTCTTGTGCTCTTGCTTCATCTAGGGCGATGTGCAGGGTCAGGTTCAATCTCGCAAGTAGCCTCCGTTGTAGCCGGCCATTCCTCACTCCGCAGATTAGTTGCTCTAGGAGCATCTCATCTAGGTCTCGGTACTTGCACTGGTTTGCGGCCTTATGCAGGGCAGCGACGTACTCGCTGATCGACTCGCCGTCCTGCTGCAGCCTTTGCCGGAACTCGTACCGCTGGACATACTTGGGGCATAGTGGTCTTTCAGCAGGGTCTGCAGCATTGACCATGATATGGTGTGGACTGAATTCGGCTCCGCCAAGGCTTCGGCCGTGTCGAACACTCGTGGTCTGCAGTGGCTCAGGAACAGGGCCTTCTTCCGCACGTCCGGTAGTCCTTGCAGGTCGTTGGCCACCATGAAGCACTCGAACCGGGACATGTAGGACCCCCACTTCTCCTCCTTGGGGTTGAAAGGCGCTGGCGGGGTGTAGGCAGACATCGTTCGCGATTCTCCTGTGCTCCGCTCGCTCGCCTGGCTGGATTCTGGCTTCGGGTGTTCCGCTTCTCTCTCGGAACGTGGTTTCAGCTCTTTTGGTTGTGGCTTCAGCTCTTTCCTTGGCTTCTGGCCTCACAATCCCACCCTCGTCGCCAATGTTAAGTTGGGTGAATGAGGACGCAGTAAGCCAGGCAGTGAGTGACAACAGCTCTTTATTGTAGGGTGAGAACCCAGCAACTGACCTAGGGAAACAGCTCCCTTTATATACCTTACAGCTGTGGTGGTCAGCCAATCAGCTGAGGGTCAGTTAATTCAAACTTCCCGCCAACAAACCTATTTACATAATAGAACTCTTTACTTACCATTAAGGGTACCATATTCAGCATTCCTTGATATCATATAATGCCTAATTTGTGCCACTGCATGCCGAAGTGGATCCCGTTTTGCCTTTTCAACAGCACCTGAAGGAGAGGTTTAATTACCATATAATAATGTTGGATTGAGATCCATTTGGTGTTGTAGTCAAGGCACCAGGCTAGAAAGAGGGAGACCATGAAATCTTTTCCCACCTTGGCCACGAAACCATCTGGGTGACCTTGGGCCAGTCACTTTGGCTCAGCCCTAAAGGAGGCAATGGCAAAACCCTTCTATAAACCTTGCCTCTTTGAAATTCAAGCAGGCATTCTTTTGCAGTACCAGAAACCTGACAGAATGGAGAACTGACCAATTGTTTTTTCCTAGAAGGGCTGAGGAAGATTGGGGAATCGATTTATTAACTGGAAACCACTTCTATTTGGACTTTGTTGGGAAGATAGACTACCGTGGAGATTGAATTTATTATATTTAATTAGACAACAATTGATAAGAGATGGCATTAAGAAACAAACATGGGAATTTGACCCAGGACAAATTACTCTTAACTTTTGGGATGATTTAGGATAGATAAGAGGCTGTGGTAAATTTTCCACCAGTGGATTAAAATAATAAGTTTGTTATCACAGGGTTTTGAAACTTTAACCTTGTATTATTATTGTGGTTAATCTTCAATTCGATTCACAGTCTGGGACTGGTAAAAAAGTTAACTGTTCAAGTCCTAACCATGGACCTAAGAGCTGTTAAAGTAATTCTGAGTATATAAGCTGTTTGGAATAGGGTGGTGGGTTTTTGTTGTTGTTGTTGTTGTTGCAAAGTTGGGATATTCAGGTCTAATAAATTCAAATTTTCCATGTTTCTAGGCAGCCCTTTGGGTATTGCTCCAAGGGTTCCTAATAGTATTGCTACAGCCATTGATTTCTTCCTCCATAACCACTGAACTTCAATTTGCAAATCATTGTTACAAAATAAATTTTGTTATTTTTCTAGCTCTTTCTCTTCAATTTGTGCATCACCTGGTATTGCAATATCAACGAACCAGACTTTTTTCTTTTTCATAATAATGATGTCAGGCGTGGGCCAGATGTCTGTCTGCTCATTTTCAAGAACTTTGTCGATTTGGTGTTCCCAGTGATTCTTGCTTCATTCAAACCCAAACGTCTGGCAAAGCTTCCAATATATGATGTAATAAAGGAGAATATTTGTAGCTCAGGGTTGACATGAGGGGTCTTCTTTTCTTGCAGACTTTTCATTACCCAAACTAGGTAATATCATCAGTGTTAACAGCAAATTGTACAGTGTTACAGCAAATTGCACTCCTTACTAGCGCTGATGATGTTTGTTTGTTTGTTTGTTTGTTTGTTTGTTTGTTTATTTATTATTCGTATTTCTATGCCGCCCACTCTCCGAGGACTCTGGGCGGCTTACAACAAAGACAACAAGAACAACATATTGCCCCCAACAATCTGGGTCCTCATGTTACTTAGTTTGGGTAATGAAACGCCTGCAAGAAAACAAGCAGGCGTAGAGAGCATCAATGTATGATTTTTGGCAACTTGATCATGACAGTATAGATAACCATTCTGTGAGATGTTGCTGCAGCCGCTGATAAGGAGATCCACTGTTTCATCTTTCTTGCTGCAAAAGCAACATTTGCTCTTGTTACTGACATGTTGAATTTTTGCTTTCATGGAATTGGTCTGCAAGGCTTGTTTTTGGGCAGCCAAAATGAAACCTTAAAAACTGGGAAAAAACTCACTGAACAACTGCCTGGATTAGCAAAAGACATTTTGGGCTCAATTATGGTCATAAGTCGAGGCTACCTGCAATTCGACTTTACTGCAAATTTATATTAAGAGCATCTGAAAGTCCAGCTCACCCTCCTTGCCTTCACAGCCCAAGAAACTAGGGAGGGTCTCTTGTGAGATGTTTCCCACACCCCTATGGCAGTTGCAGGCTAACCTGGCTCTTTGCCAACCATTGTCTGGCTTTGGATTCTCCCTCGCTCTCCCAAACTCATTCCCACACACCATTACAGACCCTCAGAACTGATTAATTAGTTGGATAAAATTAAAAACTTACATAAGCTGATATACCAAAGGGTGTACAAAAATAGACAGAAGAGCATTAAAACGCCAAGTGTTGCACAATTGTAGCCTGAGAGACATAGTTCTAATTTGGTTGGAGGGCCTGTGTTTAGAAAGGAAGCCTTGATTAGAAATGATCTTTTTTTTTTATTGAAAAAGTTTTTCAAATACCGTTTTTTCCCCCTTTCCCCCCGCCTAACCTCCCCTCCCCCTCCCCTCCCCCCATGGCTTCTCCAAGATAAAATCCAAATTGATATCACATTATATATAATACTTTACCACCCTTTTACACCACCCCCTATGTGCTACCCATTCCTTTCTAACATTATTATTATATCCCCCCTATACTATACATTTCAAAGCAACATTCAGCTGTAAAACTATATAATAAATCCTAATTTAGCATTTATTCAACTCATAATCTACCCATTTCCTCCATCCCCACACATATATCTCTTAATTCAAATCTTTAAGTATATTAATATCTGAACATAACATCCCTTTTCCTAAACTAAACAATCACTAACCTAACCTATCTCCACCCACTTTCCTACAGGTCTACCATACATAATATTTTTAATATTTTTGTTCTTCTGCCGCACCACTAAAAGATATTTCCATATATAAATAGAGTCCTCAAATGACTTTAAATTTGTAATCCATATAGTATCTTCTGTAATGTCTTTCAACTAGATTATTAATTCCATCGCCCATGTTAGGGTAACATCGAGTTCTGCTTCCAACAGTGTATTCAGTATCTTCAATTACCATCTGCCCCCATCAATAATAAATGTTTCTGTATATAAAAAACCACACGAATGACTTTATATTTATATTCCATGTAGTATCTTCTGTAGTGTCTTTTGTCTAGATTATTAATTCCAACCACCACGTTAGGGTAACAACCAGATCTTCTGCATGCCCCAATTCCATAGTTCTCTTGCCTTATAACTCAACATATACGTAATCCATTTTTCAAAGAGTCCAAAATAGAAAGTTCCAATCCGCTCAATCAAAGGCCATCTTCCACATCCCAAAAACACCAGCACTGCAGAGATCTGTTATTCTTCTCAAAATAGTATAAGTCTGTAATTTGCCTCAGTTATATTTTCATGTATCAGCCTTCTATAAATCCCGCTTATTATATTTAATCGTCTCTTAAGTAACTGGCATTAATCTGTTGGCTAAAAAAGAAAAACATTTTTTGTTTAGTTTAAAATTTTTTAGTTTTGTAGGACCTGCTTCTTCTTTTCTTAACTTGTTGTGGTTTAGATCTCCATCCTGGTTGCCTTCCTAGGACTTGTATATCAGCTGATTGAGTTACATGCTGGTCTGTAACTTGATAAAACATCAAATTGAAGTCCAAAGCCGCCTCTCTTATATTTATAGGTAATCCAGCTATAGCCTCTGAAGGAGAATCCAAAAGCGGCTCATCCAAAAAGCCCTCTGTAACTTGTTGTTTTATTACCTCCATCTCCATCTGCTTATCCTGAGTTTCAATTTCTTGTTCATTTTGCTTTTCTTTATCGCCTTCTTGTGTTCCTGACACTGGTGACATACGTGGAGATGTTGGGCCCATTTTAAAAACCTTGCAGTAAAATTCTTCCGCTTTTTCAACAGTATTTAGTTGATATCTTTCTCCTTGATATCTCAATATTATACCAACTGGAGCATCCCACCTAAATGGGATGTTTTGTTTCTTTAGCTCAGTCACCAAAAATCCAAAGTCCTTTCTATTTTTTAACATCTTGGACGGCAGCTCTTTATATATCCAGATCTTCCTTCCATTCATTTCTGGAGTGGAGTTAAAAGACTTTTGCACAATATCATTTCTTATTCCTTTATCAGTAAAGTAAATCACCACATCTCTGGGCAACTGCCTTTGCTTTGCCACCCAAGAATTTACTCTGTAGGCCTTATCAATCTTACATAATACCTCTTCAGGACTAACCTTTAAAATCACAGCCAGAACTTCAGCAGACATCTTTCTCAAGTCCTCTCTGTTATTTTCCTGTATTCCCCTCATTCTGATCGCAAATTCCATAGATCTAAATTGCATCATTGTGACTTCATTTTCAATCCTTTGTTTTATATTATCTGCATTGTAAGTCTTGTGATCAGCTTCCTTTATTTTAAACTCTACTTCTGAGCTATTTTCTTGAATATTCATCAAATTATTTTCAATTCTTTGTATTTTATTATCCAGATTATGAATCTTATAGTCAGCTTCCTTCATTTTAGACTCTTTTTCTAAGTTGATATCTTTATCCATCTTTATAATTATTTCTGAAAAGCTTTTCAAAGCTGTTACAATATATTGTTTCAGGTTATCTACTTTTGTTGTACCAACTCTTTAATTTCCTGTCTAAATTTTTCAAGATTCTGGTTCACAATCTCATCATGTCTTGCCATCTCCTCCAAAACAAATTCCTTTAGGTCTTTAAAGCCATTCTTCTGCATCTGTAAGCTCAAAACTTGTTCATGTGATTTATAAATGGGGGAGCCCCCCCCCCACAGCTTGGTTGTCTGGCTTTGTCAGTTTTAATGCCATCCTGCCACACAAACAGACTCTTTTTAAAGAAAAAGACTTCTCTCCAGACAATATCAATATCAAATCTCTAAGAAGGAAGAAACATGAAATAGGAATTTTTCTCTTCACTTCTAGCCAGCGCTATTGTTTCAGATACTTTGTAACGTATTAAACTGTTCAAACGGAAGGACTTTCGCTTTCAGCTTTCTTCTCAAGCCTCAGCCAGTCGCCATTTTAAACTTTCTTTTTTTTCCCTTTCACTCTTTCTTCACTTTTAAAATCAATCATAGGGTTGTTAGAAATACTTGCAATTTATAGTCCCAAATCCGGATTTCATCCTGCTTGTTCAGACAGTCTGTTAGTTTTCGCTGATTGGATTGGTCCCATCATCTAGCTCTGTGAAGCGCAGAGTTCCCCCGAAGCCCGGAGCAGCGGCGAGCTGGATAGGGAGCCACATTCGGCTTCCTCCCCAAGAGTAAAAACAAACTCTGGGGAGTTCGCAGAGGGCTCTACCTGCTCTCGCCGTCTCTCTCTCACGTCTCCTCAATGAGACGGAGTTTTTCGAACCGTCTCTCAACTGTAGAGACAGCTCTTATGGGTGACGAGGCTGGCGGTCCCGAAAGACCGTCTGGCGGCGACGGAAGCCAAACCGGAAGCCAATTAGAAATGATCTTAAGAGGTAATAATATGGGTCACACTATCTTCATGATGCATTTTCACCTGCTGTGGGACCTGAACCTGCAACTGCTCCAGAGCCGGGCCCTCAACAAGCAAACCTGTTCATGAAGAAGCCTTCATGAAATGCTCACCTTTGGAGGAGATGTTAAACCTGCCCTGTATTCTATGGTGGCCTTAGGTTATAGAAACAACATCCATGCCAGGCCTCCCTGATAGGGAGCAGAGTTTGGACACACCACTGAAGGATCAAGGCTGAGAAGGAACCGATAGATTTGGGCCTTGGACCAGTAGTGGGTTTCAAAAATTTTCACTACTGGTTCAGTGGATGTGGCTAGGTGGGGGACATGTGGCTGAGTGGGCATGGCCGACTTGACATCACTCACACCCACGCCCACTCAGTCACATGACCCCCCCACCTAGCCACACCCACATAAAAAGGTAGGAAAATTTTTGGAATTTCCACCTATTTACCTCTGCCCTCCCTTCACCAGTCACCTCTGTTTCCCCTCCTTTGGCGGCCCCGGCCCTAGCCCTGCTTCCTCCCCCACCCCCACTTCTTTGTTCAGGCTGCTTATCTTCCGCGGCAGCTGGTCCAGAGTCCGGAAAGCAAGCTGACTGGAGTTTTCGGCGGCCCCCAGGTAGCCACTGCTGCTGGAAAGCGGCTGGCAAAGAAGCCTCCCAGTCACCTCTTTGAGAGCCGCTTTGCAGCTACAAAGCAACTTTCAAAGAGGCAGCTGGCCGCAGGCTGCTGAAAAGTACCAGAGGGATATGTGTATGTAAAGAACATGATGGTGGACTTCCGGTTTACTAGCCTCCGGTGAAGACGGTCCCTTTCTAAGGACCACCAGCCCCGCCATTTGTAGAGCTGCTTTGACTGTGAGAAGCGGCTTGAAAACTCCAGAATCTGAAGGATTTGAAGGAGAAGAGCAAGCAAGGTGCAGGTTGTGCCCCTGTGAGCCCCCAGAAGTTTGCTACTGGGGAGGAAACAGGCGCGGCTCCCTTTCAACTTGCAGAGACTCCGGACGGCGTGGGACGACTCTGCTTGAGCAGAGCAAGCCAGCTGCAGCAAACATTTAAAACTGATTGAATTAATTTTACTAACTAGCGGACAAAACAACCTGAACCTTTAAACCAAGAAACTGCAAGTATTATTCTTTTTTTTTGTGATTTTCCGATCTAGTAAAAATTAGAGCGAGCGGAAGCGGCTTGAAAAGATGGCGCTGCTCCAGCGTTAACAAGCTGAAAGGGAGAGTGATTTTGCGAAGCTATTTTAACAAGCTACACTGTTGCGCTGTTTGTAGCAAGCAAACAGGAGAAAAGGAGAAAAAATCCTTTTTAAAATAAGCCTGAGCTCGCTTTAGTTTAACTCTATCTTTAACTGGACTAAAACTGGGGGACTTTTTTAGAGGACTTTGTGGAAAAGAAAAAAGGATTTCCTTTTTTAGAAAATCTAATCTACGTGGCAGGATGGCTTCTAAAAAACAGGAAGGCAAGGCAGCAGTGGGTGGATCCCCTACACACAAGCCTGAAGAGCAGAGTCAGAAAACAGACTTTGATTTTGAAAGTTTAAAAAAATTCATTACTCAGGCTCTGGATGATAATTTCCAAAAATCTCAACAGGAAATGGATGATAAATTCCAAAAATCTCAGCAGGAAATCAAGCAGGAAATTATTGAAATGAAAAAAGTGGTGAAAGAGAATTATGGCAAAGTGACTGATAAATTATCAAATGTGGTCTCTGGCTTGTCAGAAATTATTATTAAAGTGGACTCTAAATTGGAAGAATTTAAATCAGAAGTGAATGTTAAAATAAAGGATACTGATTTTAAAATTTCTGATGTGGATAATAAAATGCAGAGAGTCGAAAATGAAATTACGATGATGCAATTCCGGTC